GCTAGATGTGCCTATATATATATATAAATATGTATACATATATTTAGATACATTCATAAAAAAAAAAAACACGAAAAGTAGTAGTGGGTGTGCAAGCAGATATGAAATCACAGAGCTTTAAAGAAAAGAGAAGGGTGTTGCACATATGTATCACATTTCATACGAGTACCCCTTTTTTATAAAGCTACACACTTCAAAAATAGCATATACAATTTGAGCCTGTTTGCTAAGTATGTTGAGTAAGAAAGGAGAAAAACTTCTCGATATCTGTTTGAAAGACAAATAAAAGCTGTGCAGCATTTGGATTAGGGAGCCTAGAAATCAACCCTAATCCTTTTTTGAAATTGATGATGAATCAAAAATGAATCCCTCATTCTCGAGGGCAACATATTGGCCATTTCGCGTGGCATATCCGCCTTTATTAACCAATCTCTAATCGCATTGGTTGCTGTCTTTGGCCCGAAATACAATTCCACAGTGTCGTTCATAAAATGGCCTCTAAAGCGGCCCCCAAATACGACCATTGTGTTACGGCAGGCGACAGCCATATGACATTCCCGCCTAGACGGGCATTCCTGATCATATACTTGCTCAAATATGTTTGCCTCGACGTTGTAGACAAACAAATCGTTAAGTTTTTTCTTTCCATTCCAACCGCCAAAGACGTAGACGCTTCCATGATGCACCACAGCACTATTGCGGGCTCTACCAAAGAGCATAGGCCCATTTGAAATAATCTTTCTCCACACGCTTGTGTCGAAGTGGTACATGTAAAAGTCCTCACAACACTCCCCCTCGGCATTACGACCTCCGAAAACCATCATCGTGCGTTCATGCGTGAGAGAGGTGTGGGCAGACCGTGAGGGCGGCACCTCCCCAATTTGTTGGCATTTTATCCACGTCGGAGAGTCGAGGGAGCACATGAAGAGGTCGCTAAGACGTTTATTGCTATTTCGCCCACCACATTTCCCGCCAAAGACATACATGCATCCCTCAAAGAGGACAGCACTATGACAATAGCGAGTGGAAGGTACCGAGGCCGACAGGGGGATATTCACGGGCCCGCAAACCCCCTCGGCGTCAATGGTGAAAAGCTGATTAAAGCGCCCCCTCCCATTACACCCACCAAAGATAAAAACCCGATCTCGATACCACACCGCCGTGTGGAAGGCGCGCGGGCTTTGCAAAGTTCCTGTGAGGATCTTTCGGACCCATTTTTTCTGTAGCACATTATACTCCCATAAGTCGTCCAAGTAATTTGACGAGCTATCCTCAGTATCATTAACGCCACCATAGACGTATGCCTTGCTCCCATCGGCGTTAGCGCAGAAAGCGTGGCCGATGCGGCCTGGTGGCGCTATATCGCACTTAACCGTACTCCACCTCCGTGGCGTGGTCGACAGGTGCGGCATGTGCAAAGTCTTGCCTCAATAAAAGGAAGGAGTTCTCCTTTCCGAATAATAACAAATAGAAACTAAATGCCTATAGCAACTCAATACGCATATAGGAAAAGAACTACAATAACCTGCTAAAGCTTTAAAGAAGGAAGAAGAAAGGAACTGCGTATTCAGCATGAAGTACTGCACATGGAAAAAACAATCCGGGGACCCTCTATGAGATCGCGGCAACGGATCTGCAATCGATTTAAAAGTATTCCTTCTTGAAGAAAAGCAAGATAAGCATTGCGTACTTACGCCTTGAAAATTGTGCATCCCATTGTAAGCAGACTCTCTCCAGAAAAAGGACCTCACAGCTCATCTTCTTCAAACCGCCGTCGCGCCTCCCGTCGACGACGCAATGGTGGCAACCCCAAACTTGGCAGCTCCCGTGGCTTCGCTCCGAGCGCGTACTCGGGCACGTACTCTTCATCGTCCTCATCCTCCACCTTTTCATCCCCACCCACACCACGCGCTTTTGTTTCTTTTCCGTTGGAATTCGTCATCCCCGCCGACGCCGCGGCAGGTGAGCCGGCGCCGGGCGCCTGCCCTTCCTCCGCGCGATCCGACGTCGCCGCCGCGCGCAGGCTGTCGAGGAGCAGCTCCCGACTGAACGCGTTCGCGCGATCCTCGCATAGGCAGCGCAGCGCACCCCACTCCTCGCGCAAGAGATGCAAATCCTCATCCGTCGCGGGGGCTCCGTCGTCCGTGGGGGCGCCAACCCCCCCCGAGGCGGCGGCGACGGCGCCATCCAACTCCGCACCGCTACGCTGCTGAAGAAGATGCCGCCGCAGGGCATCGAAGGTGCCTGGCGGGAGGAGGTTCTCCCAGGAAAGCACCAACCCCTCCCACCACCGCCCGCTACCGTCCTGCTCCCCCCACGACATCGACACCCACGGCATCTGATGCACGACGTACTCCTGCAGCCGCGGCAGCACAATCGGAAGGAAGATGTGTGGGGCACTTCGCATCAACGAATCCACGAGCGCCCAGAGCGCCTTGTTGTGCTCGCTATCAAGCCCATTTCCCGCCGAAGACGAAGACGGAGAGGAAGAGGACTGCTCAACAAACGCCTTCCGCACTGCAGCCCACACATCGGCGGACTGGGGCAGGGAGCGCAGCGCGAGCTTCGTGAGGGCGAAAATGCGCTCCTCGGATAGGTTAATGTGGGTTAAAAGAGACGAAAAAACCTTCTCGTCAAGTGTGAAACCGGGCTTCGAGGTGGATGCTGCCATCTGCCCTCTATTTAGTGAAGTCTATCTGAGGTGCCCAGCCACCACCAGGTTCCAGGGGTAGAAAAGTTAGCGACTAGCGTACACAGACAAGACTACGTGATGGAGGATTTAAAAAGAAATTTCCTATCTGTAAAATGCCAAAACATCAACAACAATAATATGGTGAAAAAAGCAGGATATGTAAGGATAAGTGCAATGGTGTAAGATCAACTATAACCATTATTAAGTGGAATTAGAATATCATTAGATGCAACATTGCGTTGTTCATCTAAAAACTTCATTTCATTTTTGCCTTCATGTGATTTTTAACATCAAAATAAAAAGGTGATAAGAGACACCCTTGAGAAAATTCCTCACACGCAGGAGCCCAGATAGATGCTGAAGAGGGGGTTGTGGATCATCTCACACGTGTTTCGTACCGTGGCACCACATGTAAAAGTGGAGACGCATAGCGACACTGTTGACCTCCTGCATCACAGACGCACACACACCCAAGCACATCATGACGATTATCAAGGGAAGTAAAAAGGAAAAGACACTTGAATGAGTGAAAGGAAAAATATGCAAGCTATCAAAACAACGAACTGTGCAGCAAAGCCCGCGACCCAGTCTCGCTCCCCTCAGATGGTGTTCTTACGCTCAACACGCCACCACCGTGAACGATGGTTGCTTCTGTAAATGTGCAAACAGTAAGTTGGTAATTTCCTCATCACTCGGGAGACAATACACTTCAATAATATATATATAGGAAGTCCTTTTTAAGAGAAAAATCCCTCCGATATACGCGATAAATATATATATATATATATATGATATTTATAAACTTTGTGATATAGAAAATAGGAATCAGCAAACGAATACATGTGACCAGTTCCCGATTAACATCCAAGGTCCATCCATGCAGTACATCTTTCCTTAATAAGAGGTAAGAAATAACACCCATTCAAAAATGTCAACCGCACTTTTGCATGCTCCTCAACACCTTACTATGAGCATGGGTATTATTCTGCTTGATTGTTATTTCTTCAACTCTTTATGGTCTTGATCACAATAAGAATCTAAGCACAAAGATATTTAGGAGTTTCTCGGCGCAGATTTTGTTGTCATTGTATTATCAGGGTATGCCACTAAAAGAGACCATAATCAAACAGGCTTTGGGAATGTTGCTTCATTTAGCGTCGAATCTATGCGAACCAATGCGTGTGGACCAGATGTTGAGAAGAGGAAACTAGAAAAGTGATATATCGTGTGCTTTGTGTGCATAGAGATCCACGACCTAGGAGATATCTATTGCGCATTGCCCTACGTTCAACAAGCCCATGAGCTTAGGATAAGAAAAGAAAAAAAGATGACAATCATAACAAATAAAAAAGTGTAGCCAACCCAACCATGACTTGTTATACATAATCATACAAATACCCTGCATGCGTTTAAAAGAAGAAAGCCGTCATCCAGAGAGCTGATAAACATACTATTTTTTTACCAAGGATACGAATTCAAAGAAAAAACATATATAATGAGCATGTCGATTCCAGATTCACACTTCTATTTTACCCTATCTATTGAATCGTTTTACATCTGAAATGTTCTTCTCAATAACCATTTCAGAAGCTCACTTGTTGGTAACTTAATAAACTTCCACTCACTTGCTTCAAGCAAAGCTCTTATCATGCATATACAAAAATAGAATTTATAATAAACAAAACGTAAATATTCATTTTACTCACATAAGGTAATAAAAAACTAAATCCAATAATGATAATAATTAAATGTCGAACTATCAGAGCTCTTGCCCATTTGGTATATCACATTCTCCTGTTCAGTGAGACATAAATAAAATTAATTGAAAACTATACGAATTTGAGACTCGCGTGACCCTATCTGAATTCTATGCTTATCGCTTATATCCCTCCTTCGCCCCAGACACACTAACATTCACTTTTCCTCATATTTCCAATTTACTTTTTATTATTGAAGACATATCAACATTACTACACAAAAATATTTTGCCCTCTCATTATTGTTGAACATAGGAATATTAGCTAGCATAAGTGCATGAAATATGAAACCTCCCTAAAGCCAGAACCTGCTCCCATAAGGTATTCAACTTGTGCTCCTTACGAAATAAAACGATAATACTCGATACCGATATCTTGAAACGCCTCTTCGTTACGGTTCCCCATCCGGTCCACCACAAACTCCATCTTACGCTTTCCCTCAGCGAGATCGGCCTTCTGTGCGCCGCTGTGCAGTGCCTCGTACTGCTCCTTGTCGATATTGATGTAGTTGCTTAGGGCTTCCTCGACGTTGAGCTTCGCCGCGGCCTTCTCCCAGCCGTCGACGGGGACGATTGGGATTGCCATGCTGGCGTCACCGCTGCCGTACCCCACCATCACCATTGGCTTCCCCGTGATATCGAGCTTCTCCTTGTACGCCTCCTCGAAACCGGAGGCAAGCCAGCAGGGAAGCGAGGCTGTGTACAAGTTACCAAAGTTCCCCATCATCTTGCTCCCAAGGCTCATCTTCCGATCCAGCAGATCGCTGAACCGCTGATCCCTGCGCAACACCTTCGCGACCTTTCCGGTGTTCGGGAAGGCATCGATCGGCTCGACCCCCTTCTCGATCGACTTGAAGTAGGCTGGGATGATATCGAGCTCCGCGACCACGCTCGCGGGATCCACCTTCGCCTTCGCACAGAGCTCTTTCAGGTACGCGATGTGCTCGTCCGAGGTCGCACGAGCGAGGCCGCGAGTGTAGAGAAAGGACATCGCCTGAATTGGCATCATGTTGTACGGACGGTGGAAGAAGAGCGCGGTGACGTTATCGTAGTACTTCCCAGGGGCCTGTCCCAGCCGCTCCAGCATGTGCTCCACCGCCACCGTCACCTCCTCTTGGTAGACCAAGGTGCTGTAGGGGCCGGAGAAGACGGGGAAGTCCGCGAGCTTCCCGTTCGCGTTCGACCCACGGTAGGCCGCGAGGTCCATCATGTAGCGGCGGTGGGGCTTGCGGAAGTCCGGCCCGCGGTAGTCCGAGGCGGAGCCGGAGTACTGCAGTTGCACGTCAAAGAGCTTCGGATCGCGCTCGACGAGCATCGCGGTGGCGCCTGCCCCTTGCGTCTGCTCCCCGGTCGATCCAAGCGCGTACTCGGCGATGTCGGAGGCGACAACGATCGCCACCCGATCCCGCCCGTCAGCCGCACAAAAACGAATTGCGCTCTCCATCGCGTAGACACCGGCCAGGCAGGCGTGTTTGAACTCCGGGACCTCGCAGTGACGGGAGATCGGTGGCAGCTTGAGCGTCTCAAGGCTCTTGTCGACCATCCCTTTGATGATAATCGCGCCGGCGGAGTTGTCGGAGGAGCTCTCGGTGCCGAGGCCGAGAAACCCGACCTTCCCGGGATCCACGTTGTAGTTCAAAATAAGGCGAAGAACTGCATTGGCGGCCATAGTGTAGGCGTTCTCGTTGTGGTTTGTTATGCGGAAGGATTGTCCGACGACGCTCGAGACCTTATCCCAATTGTTCCCCGTCCACTGGCACCACTCCTTCAGACCGACGCGGCAGGGAGGGGCATAAACCGCCATCCCGCTCACACCAGCTAGTCGATTAAGGAAACTCATATCGGAGACTGTGTGGTTTGCGATATATTGTTAGGTTGAAATGCGTGTGATCTGCAAGAATTAGGTTCCACTTTTAAAAAAATATGATAAAAATTAAAGGTGATTGAGCTTTGATGAAAGTAATATATAGGTTCAGTAGGTAATGTAGAAGGAACTGGGCAAAGTAAAGCATGAAGAACATCAGAAGAAGAAAATACAAACAAAGGAGGAGTAAGAGAAGCCCGTAAATTAATAGTCTCTGTGGCCAGTGGCTCACTACTCACAATGCTAAACAAGGAGATAATGAATGAAAACAACAGTATTTTATGCGTGTTGTCACGGTGTGTTGGGTTAAGAATAGATAATTACAATGAATGTGGATAGTAAAGCGTATTTTTTTTATAAAATGAACGTACTACTCCTTTATAGCACACTGTATACTCACACCATACAAACACATAATCACATGAACTTCTTTCTCACACATTATCAAGGGAAGAGTGATTTCTTTTAGCGCAATCTGTTCCAAACTACTTTTAATAACTTTGAAGTGTTCACATATATACATATATGTATATATATATATATATGTGTGTGTATGTGTGTGAATGTACAAAAAAAAAAAAGGCTGTTCATGTGCTACTCAGTCGAATCGAGCTTAAGCTGTGGCGTTATTGATCACAGGAGCAAGATTCTCCGTAACATGTACTTACACTGGGGAAATCTCAGGTTGATGTTCGGCAATGAGATGAAGCGTGGTGCGCCGTGTCTGATTAATATGGAGTGAAGGGTGACGTATAACATATTGTGCAACATCCTTCAACGCGTGATGCACCGTTGCATGTCCCTAGCGATCCAGAGAAGGGGTGATATCTAGTAGTCTTGTGGTACCTTGTCAAAAGGTGTACATCCTCCAGTTTTAAGCATTCCTCCGTTCAACCCCCCTTTTTCCATGCCCACAGACTCTGCACCAAACATACCAAACAGATGGATGTAGAGTATACAATAGTAGTAGTGGAAAGGGCTCCCTATTGCGGGATCTAACCTCTTTTTGATGTTGATTAAAATGTTTAGTACAAAATGAAAATTTGCTATGGGCTATTCAATGCTAGATTCGCCATTAGCTTTCAGAGGGAGAAAAATATGTAAGATAGATAAGCCTTGTTCATTAATTGTCAATACTCCTAGCTGTCTCTATTACTACACTACATTTGTCACTAAAAGCAAAAGGTAGATGCAACACAAACCTGTTTTCTTATTTAAAAAATAAGAATGAATGCAAAAAGGCTGTCAAACTAGCTGTAATTTGAGAAGCATAAGCTTGAACTGTGCAATACTCTAAATAATGCTTTCTGTAGCATCACTCTTGGTTTCACAATTGCTACGCAAAGAAAAAAAATACATAGTACACGTCTTTTTACTCAAACGTAAGTCAAGCGTCTAGGCGTATTTTCTTTATTACAAAGAGAAAATTGGATAGTACAATATATTAGAGGGATACACGCAAAAAAGAAAAAAGGGACCTTAGAAATGAGTCGCCTGTTCGTGTCCCTTCTACCTGATACAATGCCTCCACTACCATCCCCTCTGAGTCCTATGGCGAAATACAACAAAAAGGAAATCAAATGACCTCCCCTATCGGGGTGTGACCCATAACCGCCCCCTCCCCAGAGGAACCGCTCACGCGATGAAAGAAAATGAAGCCACAGAGGTGCAGTGCGAGACTTCCCACCCTCTTCCTTCCTCTTTCCTCCCAGTTACGGGACGCCGTGGTAGGCGGAGCCGGTCTCGTGGGTCGCGAGGACGGCCCGTCGGTAGTCCTCAGGCTGCCCCCACATCTGAGCGGCCTGTGCGTTGAGCGGGGACTGGTTGTTGGGATTATCCAATAGGGCCTGGATGGAGAGCAGGACAGCCCCCGCCGTGTACGCGGCCGACCAACGCTCCTTGAGGATGTCCAGACAAATCGCCCCATGCACATCTACATTGGGGTGGAAGCACGGGGTTAGGAAACTGACGGAGGGCGCCGCGTAAGGGTAATTCGGCGGGAAGCTGAGGGAAAGCCGGTATTCGAGCCCCTCGTATGGGGTCCGCTCTACACCCCGGATGGTGGCAATCCAGTGGAAGAGGTCGTCGTTGTGCGGGAAGGCTGAGATGCCGTCCACGTCGGCCAGCACCAGCTCCATCAACTCCTTCTGCAGACGCGCCGCGGCGTTAGCCTTGTCTCGCACACCATTGCTGCTATGGGAAGACATATGGAGAAAGGTTCCTTGTATATGGAAATGTAACGTATATAGTGTATAAGTGTATATGTATGGGTGTGTGTGTGTGTGTGTGTGTGGACGCACTTATGTTTATTCGCACTAGACGAAAAAAAAAAGAGATGATTTGCCGGAGATGAGCGAACATTGAGTGAATTTATGTGACTGTCAATTTTTGGCACATATCATGAATGCGTATTATTCAAATGTCAAATACCAATTCAAGAATCAAAAAGAGTGATAATTGTCACAAGCACACATGACTGTCACTATTGAAGTCGTTGTAAATGATCTTGAAGAGTTGCACAGCACTCCTCTAAAATAATTGACTATGTTCGGTTTCCTCTGTAAGTAAAACGGAAGAGGAAAAGAGTGGTGGTGAAGGATATAGCAAAGGAAGAAAGTACACTAGTCACTTGCATCGCAGAATTTGTTACCGCTCCTTCGACACAATGGGTTGCTTAGACGAGCCACAAAGTGGAAGATACCCTTACTAGCATATGCGCGTTTATTTTCCCTTGAATTGGCATGTTTGTGGGTACTAACTTTCCGTATGCTGAATTCCTCCACACCGATCAAGGTAGCTTCATGGAACGCAGCAGAAAATGCCGGTTATACCACGCAGGCCATTCCCTAGACTCAACCCACTCTAGGGCGTTGGTCTCACCTAAAAGGTCAGCACCTCCCGGCTGCGACGGCGCCTCGTCCGACCCCCCCATCTCCCCCATCTTACTAAGGAAGTGCTCCTTCACGTTGGTGCCCAAAAAATGCGCGTAGGGCTTCGACAAAATGATCTCCTGCAAGATGCTGCAGCGCTCGACGTCTTGACGGGCAAGGACGCGGTTAATTCGCGCGGCCTCATCCTCGAGTGTTTGGCTGGCGAAAAGATCGACCCCTTCGTCGGTGGTGGACGCCGCGGAGGCGGTTTCGCCCTGCCGCCACTCCGTCGGCCACTCCGCCGGGGTGAAGAAACGGCGAACGTGTTGCAGCAACCGCGCCATCACCGACACCCGCATCGGATCGATCCCGCAGTACACCTCCTCAAACGGGATCTCCACACGGTTGAGGAGGAGGGGGTGGCTGCGCAGCGGCCGCGTGAGGTGAATCGTCGGCGTCTCAAACGGATACCGGGGCGGGAAGTGGACAATGAAGTTGAAGTAGCCCTGATACCACGGCGAGGAGGGGCTTCGCACGCAAACCAGCCCTTGCCAGTCTCCCTCAGAGTCCTGCCAATCGTGAAGGTCGTCGGGCGAGCCCGTCTCCGCGGTGGAGGGCGCAGGGGGCAGCAAAATCACATCGCGTAGCTCCCGCACAATCTCGTGGAATGTCTCCACACGGGTGGAAGGTAAGAGGGGATCGCCGGGGTTTCCGGTTTGTGTGTTTTCCTTTTCGGGGGTGGTGTGCGACCTCGCAACGGGCGTAGATGCCCCGCTGTCAGCCGCCCACGTGGGACCGTGTTGTGCTGCTATCGTTGAAAGAAGCTGAAACTCTCGACGAAGGTAAAGCACACGAAAAAGGATGTCTTGCTTATTGAATGAATGCAGCTCCGCACTTGCCTGCATTTCTTCCCATACTATATTTCTACTTGTCGTATCACTAATTAAATAGCTCTGTATGCTCCATGTGGGAGTTTAAAAATTCATGGCATGATAAGAATATTATATAAAGGAATGAAGCAATCAACAAGCGTAAGCTGTATCCCTCACAATAATCTCTTATAGAGACGGAAAGAAGCCATAGGATAATTTAGTCTCTGTATAAGCAAAATTTACAACAGTTTGCATAACCGCTTCACAACGAGATCCACATCATATGATTATGTTAATCTCACAATAATTGCAGAAACGAATTTCTATTATTGCACAGTATTGAGGAAAGAAGATAATCACAGCATAAAAATTGTATCATCGAGAGCTCTATTGTGATGACTAAGAACTCCCTCTACACATTTTGTATATTCTTGAAAATATAGTATACAAAGAGTGAAATCAACTAGGGTATTCCACAAGCCCCCTCTCATCAAATTCGCAAGCAAAACCATTACTTAAATACATATTAAATTGTAAAAATGTACACAAAATTAACTGCAAGGTTACAAAAGCAATCGTGGGAATAAACAGTCCTATACGACTTATTAAGATCAACGCTTGGTAACACAAATAAAAAACATGCATTTGGTAGAGAATCGATAATGTTGCTCCTTTTTAAAACTAAATTTTACTAATACACATATATAAAAATAATGACAGTTTTTTATGGTATCACATGTCATTCATCATTATGATAGTCATCTTTTAATAAATTAAAGGCCTCTGTTAACACCGCTCGCAATATGAAAACAGTGGAGCAAAGTCACTAAATAATGTTAACCAAGTTCAAATAAAAATAGAACCAACAAACGGATAGCTCATGAGAATGTTTTATATTACTTTTATAGCAAAGGGTACTTCACATATCGACACATCAAGATGGAAACCCTCCCTTTCTTTAGAAATGTATAACTATTATCATGATGAATATTATAAAAATAGTAATCATAAAAATACAAAGAATAGCCAATCCCATGTATTTTTGCGAATAAAAACATAAACTATCCCTTCAAAGTTGAACTTTCGTCGGATGCCGATTTTGAGTCGTGGTGCGAGTGGCTTTTAGATTCTCGCAAGCGCTCGTCAACTCGTTGGATCTTTTCTAGTGCACACATAGAATTCTTATGCAACTCATTAGTATTCCAACCATTGCCGACCCGGCTCGGGATTTGCTGAATCCATTTCAGGATTTTTTTCTTCTTTGACATCGTTTCGGAGTGTCTTGATATTGCGTCCAACTTCACCGATAGGAGGGTCTTGCCGGGAACTACCTTACCTGCTGCACATTTTCTATGACCATTTTTATGCCCTGACACCTGATTTTCACTCTGTAGGCCGAATCCTTCGATAGCACACCCCATTAATATAATTATATCCCTTTATTTTGTTGACCTTCGGCCCCTACACAACTAGAAACAAAAAAATATGTGTCCTCCTGAAAGTTTAAACTAAAAAGTTTATGTGTCGCCGTTTATATTTGCGAATAAATAAGACGGTAAAACTACGTGTTTCTTGATAATATATATAAAACCTTACAGAAGAAAGTGAAAGGTAAAGTCATAGTTATCAAAAGTCAAAATTCATTTCGCGGTATCATTAGCATGCACCTCTTCCTCCCACACAATATTCGGTGAAATAACGCTACTACAACATCCCACACAAATGGTCAAACAACTTTTGATATGAAGGTAAAGGTTCGAGCGACCTATACCCGCAGACTCTCCGAATGTGTGTACGTGTGGGTATAGATAAAGGGTTATAGGGGAAATTAAACTAGAGCAGTGTAGAAAGAACGTGAATCCATTCAAAATACGAGTAAACACACGCATTTAGCGAAAAAGGTAGGCTACAATAGAATATATGTTCATATAAGGAGCTAACGCTAATATAAAGACCTAAACAAACGGCATTCCTCTCCCCCTTCTCTTATGCAGACGCATTTTTTGCCTTCAAATTTTGCAAAAGAATGAAAGTGATATATATATATATATATAGATGCAGCTAAATAAATCTGCGAAAAGTAAAAAATTCAATAAAAGGGGAAAGAGAGAAAATGAATGTTGTTACATTGAAACACCAATGAGATATAGCATCAAAAATAGGAGAAAAAGCGTGGGAGGGAGAATATTATGATCATTCACGTTTGATCAACGCAAAAGATAACAATAAGAAAGAAAAGTAATGTCTGAAATGATGCCACCATAAAATAATTTTAAGTACTATAATAATATGTTTCGACAAATAAATAAATAAATGCTGTTCGCATGTCCCCTATAGCTGACATAAAAAGCAACAATAATAATAAAAAGACAAATTATAAGCAAGGGCAACCCGCTTTAGTGGATTTCAATTGTATAGAGTTGGATGAACTATTCCGATCCGGTGTCTTGAGCCCGGCCGCGAGCACGTATCGAGGGGTATCCTGTGAGTAAAATCCGCCGAATGGATCTCCTTCCGTGCGCAGCCACAACTCATTTTCATAAGTCTCATCTGAACAAATGTCCGGCTCCGGAACACGATCGAAACTCCCCGCCAGCCCCTGCTTCCACATCGCAATTTTCCGCCCCGGTACGAATCCGATGAAACTACGATCTCGCCAACGATTGATTTCGAGTTGACAGGGTGTATTTTGATGTTCTTTACGGCTACCAAAGCTGCTACCATAAGCATCCCCACAAATGGCGCTTGTTGGCTCTGTAATATTTTCCTCCCCCCCTTCTGTGCAGACATTCCTACGAGGACGGCGGGGGGACTCCATGAGATCGTTGAGCTGAGCAGATGCGGCGAAAGAGGCCTGACCACTGGACTCTCTTTGTATCCGTGTGGTTGAGGATTTCGCCCCCATGCAGATGCCCTGTGATATCAAATAAGGCTTATTCAGCTACGTTCTGTGATTTTCGAAAATTAAGAGGAGTGCCAAGGCAATTTTTTGGTGTGCATAGATACAGATGTACAATTCAAAAAGAAAAAAGCATAAGAGTTCGGCTACTTATTGTTGGAGCAAAAATAGTATTATTAAACAGCTTTTAGTGTAAAATGCTCCAGAATATTACAATCGGTTTCCCATAATTTTAAGTGATCAGGATAATTATTGGCTCTGATCGGTGGATAATTAATAACACAGAAATGAATCAACTCGTGAAGTCTAAATTTGCAAGGAAGAGAGAAATATCGAAGGGAAAAAAATATTACCGCCCAACTAAGCATTATATTAGGATAGTAGTAATAGCATTGTCAATTCTGGAGAGAATGCTATTAACCACACGAATTCTCAAACTACTAGTCTTTCCAAATTTATTAATACATTTCTCCCTTAGATACTAACTTTTTAGTATAATAAGTTTATATTTTTACTCATATTTCATTAATATGCTCAAAAGACATGAAGACTGTTATACGAAAGAAAAGCTGGAAAGTCCCCTGTACAGATAACGCAACAAGATCGAAAGGAATAGAAATCCGATTCATTGAAATTTCCTATGTAACTAATAATAAATAATACAAAAGGCATTATGTAAAATAAAAGGGGAAATATAATGAAAAGCATAAGTTCGTTTTTTAAGGTTTGTTTTGTGTTCAGAAATCTAAAGCCTATAAATCTATCTTCTACGCGCCTATGAACAAGTACTTGGATTTCCTTTTTTGAAAAAGACAAAATGGAAAGGACCTTTAAAAAAAAACCAAAGGCAACCAAATAGCTATACCCTTACTGAAACCCCTCATGTTTGTCGTCCGTAGAGACAAAAATACCAGGTTGCTTGAACTCCCACGTGAAGGTGGTTTTATCCTTAAACCCCCAGAAGTACATCGCAACACCCTGCGACTTCCACTGCTGGTGATATTTCTTTTTATACAGGCTGTAATGTGGACACACCAAGGAGCACCCAAGCAGCCACGGCAGTAGCCACTCCTGAAGAAACAGCAACACGTAATCGAAAAGCGCCGGCCACACATGAATAAGCAGAGGAACGGCATCGACATCACAGTGGATGCAGTCACGGATGAAATCACGATCGTAAATCGACCCCGTCGCGACCTTCGCATCGCGCTGCCGGATGTGGTAGAGAACCTTGGGGTTGAAGGAGATCACCGTGGCTTGTTCATACATGTACTCCGGGTAACGCGCGTAAAGCTCCAATATCTTGTCCACACTCCGCCGAATGTTTCTTAGGTCCTTCACCTCGATTAGGATTTTAATGCGATGCTCACGGCAGAAGACGACCACCTCCTCCAGCGTCGGTACGCGAACCTTCCCGGTCGGGTCTTCCACATAGCGGTAGGACTTGAGCTCCGCCAGGGTGAGCTGATCGATCTGCGCCTTATCGGGCACATCCACCAGCTTCCCCTTTACGTGGTTGTCGTGAAAGGAGACCAACTCGCCGTCCTTCGTGAGGCGCACGTCGCACTCAATCCCCCCACAGCCGTGATCGATGGCATACTTAAAAGCTTCGAGGGTATTCTCGGGAATCCCAACCACATGGCGACAGCCGCGGTGGCCGAAAACAATGTTGCTCCAGCTCAGCCGTAGAGGCCCTGCTGACAGTTTGAGGCTCCGCACCAAAGCCCACCCCGCGACCAAGGTCGCCGCTATCGCCGCGTAACAGCCAACTAGTATCTTCTTCATGAACTCTTATTTTTATTATTTATTAAGTTTTTATTTTTAGGTTACCTTACCGAAAGGCTTTGATGGTATCTTTAGTATCTTTTTTGATTTGACCAGGCGAGAGTTACCTGATACGATAGGAGAAGTACGTGCTTTTAATAATAAATTCAGTATTAGAGTAAAATGAATACTAGATTGTTTTTTCTTCAATTGATCCTTTTTATGATTATGAATGGAATATCCTATTGATTTTCCCTCAAAGAAGAAAAAAGCTTCTGCGAAAAAGAGCTTCTTGATAAGTTTCATGGGCCCATAGATAGACAATATTTTACAAGATTTAAGAGGGTACACACGACAGCCTCAGATCATATTTCCTTATTAGTCTGCATATATAGACACTGCATTCAATGAGCAGTGATATGTGGGGAAAAGAAAGCTAATCAAAAGGCCTGAGGTTAATGCAAATCTAGAGCAAAACGCAACGAAATAATGATACTTCAGAACAAACCTGGCCCTCCCTTCTTAATCGCGTAGTAACTCAAAGTATAAAGATGATAAACATAAATATGGGAAGGGACAGAGATGTAGTAAACAAATCAAGTGTGTCACCTTGTCGCCGTTCTAACCGGCTCAGAGCACAGCGACGGTTCGCTGCATTCAAGTTTTATTTCTTGACTTTTAGTGGAGAAACGGATCCATTGGAAGCGTGTCGTGGTGATTCAGATCATTTTTCAGTATATCCTCTAGCATCTGTTTGAAAGCACGATCTCCTCCACTAAGCCAGTTTACCAAGTCCGTTGCAAAGTATACGGCATGGTTGGGAGGTAGCCATCCCAACCGTTTCTCACGATTATCCATATAAAATCCAGTCTTGATGAGATTCACAATGTAGTCCGGCATCACAACATTATGGCGCCCGAAGGTTGTAGCGACCAGCTGCTGGAAGTTCTGCGCATCAATCTGAATCTGCATGACGGCCATGTCGTTCAGCTTTCTCTTCGAAAGTTTGCTGTACTCCCGCACGAGTGTAGCCTGGACAGTAAAAATAAAACGCTTCAAAAAGCACGTATCCAGCACAGGGGTTGGCATCGCAGGGCGCCGCTCATTTAAAGCATTCATGCCTGCTATGATATCCTTCACGTAGCTGCTCACCTGTATCTCATCCTTTTTCGGCCGTAGCTTTGAGATCTCGGCACAAACAGACTCCATTGGGTATATCGCCTGGCAGACACGGTAGATGCACATATGCAACAGCTCCGTAGCAACCCCATAGAAGTCCTTGATGCGACGGAAGTGCTCCTCGGCGACGGGCCCAGGCAGGAGCTGCGCGAACGAACACACCAAAGCCTCCTGCTGAAACACGAGCGCGATGCAAGATTCGCACGCCACCACACGATTCACCAAGGCGTAATGATGTGCCCCACTCGCGTACTCCTGGCGTATGCGATCCCATATCCTAGGTGGGAAACGAACCAACGAGTTGCCGTCATGCGGCACATCATTAGCGAGCTGCTCGGGAAAGCTAAAGCACCCGTTGACAGCCCCAACGGACCTTTCACTGGAGACGTGCATCTCAGCCAGAATGTCCTGCACTCTCTGCGAGAAGTCGCTTTGCCGCTCAATAGGAACGCTTTTCGAGATCGAGACGAAGTTATCCGCGATGGTGTAGATGTAGAGGCTCACCAAATCGCTTGTCCAATTGATCATATTAGCAGCTAGAGGTGAGTATCGAACCACCACACGTGCCGCGTATTCCGTCAGCGTGTTGCACAAACTAATCGCGCTCGACGTCAAAACCGTAGGCGGGATGGATGCATTGGCGGCTAAGGTGCCCTTAAGCACATCCTCAAGACACCCTGTAGCCATCACCACGGTGGAATCCTGAGTCTCCGCAAAAGAGTCCTCCTCCTCAGGTGTGGCATCCCGGGGCGAGGTCGCGGTATCGCTCAGGCTGCGCGGACTTCCCGAGTCGAGGCTGTTCTTCACCCTCGTCCAGTACTGCCCAAACGTTTCCGTCTGGAGAAATCGATCCAAATCCTGGGGATCGATCACCTCAGCGGCGTAGAACGGATTCTCATGCGTGGCCGCCCGCGCCCCGCGCTCCTTCGCGCCCTCCACGTACGCCCGCACCGTCTTCATGCACGTGTGGTAGGCTTTCGAGGTAATCGGCCGCACGACGCGCAGCGAGAGGGCGGAAAGATCCGACATCGTCCAGCTATCCTCCATCATCCCCCAAAGCACCGCTGCCGCCTTGGGGAGCTGAAATTGTGTGGCGACAAAGCTCTCGAGCCTCGCGCGTAGCTGCGTGCGGGCGGACGCCAACTCCGCGCCATCCGCCCCAGCCCCCTTCACCGCCTCGACGAGCATGTCGACGACAACGAAAAGATGCAACCCGCGGGTGAGGTCGAGCTGATCGACCTTCGCGTGAGTGATCACGAGCGTGAGCTTCTGCAGAAGGTCGTTGCCGATGCGGCGGCCGATCCCGTCAACGCAGTGCAAGAGGTGCGCGTGGGCGTCGGCGAACGCCGAATCCCGCCGGCGGCTCTCCTCGCCGTGAATTCGAAGAATCGTGGTGTAGATGGAGAAGAAGTCCACTAACCTAGCCGCCATCTGGCAAATACACAACAAGAGATGCTTGGGTTGAATTTCCTCCGCGAGACTGGCGATCGGGGCCGACTCGTCCTTGCGCTGAGAGATCTCAAGTAAGGATCTGGTGAGGATTTGCGCCGCGACGCACCAGAGCAGCTGCCCGACTTGATTCCCCAGCTCCTGGGGAGTTCCCACCACCGTAGAGGACTCCACCAGACTGCAATAGGTCGATTCCACAAACCGGTGCGTTAGACAATCCGTCAAGACGGCCTCGACGCACTGCTCGACAAGCCTGGGGTCGTTCTGTAAGGCATGCCACTTCTCGATCAGTATCCGTATGGAGTGAACGCGTGTAAGGCGATTCTCGATATCCGTAGATCCCTCTTCCTTAAGCAACTTCATCGCATCGCTTAGCTTTCCGCTCGAAACGAGCACCGCGAACTCGCTACGCCTCCACACAATCCGCTTCATTACCTCTAGGAGAACCATCGTATCGGCAACGTTCGTCCTTGTGCGGTTGAGACCGAGCAGGGCAACCTGAGAGGCGGCAATCGCCTTGGACTTTCGAATCGCCACCCGAGCTTTTTTGCAATCGCTAGAGGTCTGCAAAAGCGAGTCATTAACCATACGAATATCCTCAATACCTTGAACAAACTCGGCATAATGCGCGAGCACGCGCTTCTCGAGCGTCGTGCTCACAATCTTGCATTTTTGCCGCAAATCTAAGATACGAGAATTCATCGCCTCCTTCTCGTTCAGGATTTCCTCGTCAATGTCGGTGTAGGAGGGCGTCATGTGCGTCAGCTCGTACATCACGGCGTCGTAGGTTCTGTCGAAAAACTTGCGATCCACCTGCAACTGCACCTGCTCGTCCGTTAGCGGCTCCCCATCAAGGGATTCCATCTCGATACCTTCGCTATCCTCCACATGTTCGTCGCTTTCCTGATGGACCCCCACATTCTGCTTGTGGTCATGGAGGTGCCGGACGTTGCTGTTAGACCTCTTTCTATGTTTATTGCCAGGTTTTAGTGAATCAACGGGGATATCCTTTAAAGCCTTCTTCGTAAGTCGGTAACCTTTCTTGACGCCGCGAACAGTGCCCTTGAACGCTGACTTAAAGTGATCGGAAAATTCATCCATATTTCCCCCTTTTTAGAGGGAAGGAGAGAAGAAGGCGGGAGAATGTTTCCACACGTGCGCGTATGACTTAAATAGATGTTAGGAAAAAATCTATTAAAAAGTAAAAGTCCCGATGACGATACTACGGGTTCAAAGCATAACAAATGGCCAGCAACTCGTCAAAAACCTATCAAGGATATATTTTCCCCTGCAAAAATGAAAAGAGGAGGTCGGACAAATAGAAATACGAATAGCAAAATATTATATTTGAGTAATGTCGATGTGATGTCAAGAATGTCTCCACAATACTAAACTTCTATAAATTCATAGCCTTATCTATGCATTTCTTCTAGCTCTATCCTATTGTGATCACGCGCGAACGCTTCCTCTAAAATCAACTGAGCGCGTCACAAACAAGCGAAACCAAGGCACCATTCTTCAGATCTAGTAGAATCAAGAATGAAAAATAAAACACGAGACAAGCATCCCCAGACCTCGTCAACCCAACCCACTTTCTGATGGTTAGGTGGGAACCGATTATTCCGATCGTTGCTCCCGCAGACGCCGCCCCACCTCGAGCTGCTCCTGTTGCTTGTCGAAGCATACCTGCATCAGCTGCTGTGAGTTGCGTAACTCCTCAAGCTTTGCCATCAAATTGCGCTCACGCTGCTGCGCCTCTGCGAAAGCGACGTCGCTGATGTTCTTGAGAGACTCCAAATTCGCACACTTCTCGCGAAGAGCTGAGATCCCCGAGCTTAGCGACTGAACCCGCGCGAGAAGCTCCGCTTCCGCGGCCCGCGCCGTCCGGAGCTCCCCTTCAATGCTGTCGATTCTATCGCGTTGAGTAACGGCGTGGCACTGCAGACGCTGAAGCTCGGCGTTCGACGCACTCAACTGCTCCTGGAGCTTCCCTATTCGATCCTTATCCGCTTGATGTGCCTGTTGCACGCTTCCTAGCGTGAGTTGATGACTTTCCCGCATCCTCTCAAGGTTCGCTTTGGCGGCGGCAACCTGACTTTTGAGGTCCTTTAGCTGTGCAACGGCGCCGTCGCGAGCCTCTTGGACCCGCTGCAGACGCTCCGATACCGCTGCGAACTCCGCCCTCTCCTCGGAGATGAGCTTTCGTTGCTCCGACATGAGCTGCTGCAGGGCAGTGATCTCCGCACGCAATTCACGCATCTCGTCCTCGTTGTGGCGGTGCTCGGCAGTGCTGTCATTCAGCTTCCGCTGCAGGGCATCGTTCTCGCGACGCTGCGTGCGGTATACCTCATCCAGCTTCTGCTGGAGCTCAGATCCCCGAACTTCAGCTGCATCACGCTGTTCCTGTAAAAGGCGCAGCTGCTTTCTGAGATGCACCGCATCAACCCTGGCGCATTCCAACTCCACGGTAGCCGCATGAAGGGCCTCTTCCTTCTCTTGGAGAGCACAGGACGCCACCTCCTTCTCACGACGACTCTCATAGGCTTTCTCCGATACGGCCTGACGAGACTCCACCAGCTCCGCGCGGTGCTGCTCCATGAGACGCGCAATCTCCACACGATGGCGGTTTAGCTCCGCATCCATGGCTAAATCATGATCCGTTTTTGTTTTCTCTAGTTGAAGGGTCATCTGCTCCGCTAGGTCACGCGCTCTCACCTCATACTCATGTTTGGCATGCTGACATACAATCCAACTGCTATGGAGATGACGCTTCATCTGCTGCATTGTTTCTCGGTAAAGCTGCATCAACAACTCCGAAAACGCAATCTTCATCGCAATGGCCTCCTCGGAGTACTCGGCACTACGGGTATAACTGTTAGTCAAGCGCCGTTGTAGCTCATCGCACGTGCTACGAGTGGAAGCGGCATTTTCCCGCGCCAACTTGAGTTGGAGTTCCAGATCAGCGCACTTCTGCTCCACCATGGTGGCGTTATGCGCGGTGTCTCGGTACAACTCTCTTTGTGCATCGATTGCCCGTTGCGTCTGCACCTTTGAGGCCTCTAGAGCGGCCTCTGCCGCCTGCAAATCCTTCAAAAGTGCGGATTCACGATGTTGACTGGCTTTCTCGGCACGTGTTGCCAGATTTACCTTCTCCTCAAGCTCTTTAAGCGATGCCTCCATTCTACTCTTCTCCTTCTTGAATTTCCTACGTAAAGCATTGGCAGAGGCCACTTCGGATTCCAAGCGCTCCGCCTGGCTGTTGGCAGATACCTTCTCCTTTTCAAGAGCCGCAAGAGCCTTTCGGAGCTCCTCCTTACATACAATATGTTTTTTCTCTCTTGACTCCGATGCCTCCTGCAGGCCCCATAGTTGTGCTTGGAGTTCATCCACTCTTCGTTGCGTGTCTGTGTTAAGCCCCTTTGCTGCCTCTACTTCCATCTCTTTGGAATGCAAAGCTGCTTCTAGATCAGCAACGCGCTCCCGTAAACCAACAGCAGTCAGCTGTTCAAGCTCCTTATGGTGCTGTAGCTTCTCTTGTAAAACTAAATTTTTGCTTTGCTCTTTATTTAGATGAGGCAAGATAATTGCCCGTTCCTTCTGCAATGTAGTAATCATTTCGTCACGGCTTTCGATAGCTTGCCGAAGTTCCTCGGTTTTTTTCCGAGCCAACTCTTCAATCTCCTCAGCGTGCTTCACAGTACGTTTGAACTCAGTTGAACAGTTATTCAGGTCTCCCTTCAAGCGCAGCGTTTCTTCCTCAGCAGCCTTCAAGGCATTCTGAGAAGCCTCGGTATTCTGCCGAGCCTGTTTGAGGGCCACTTGCACCTCAATGATTTCAGCCTCAGACCGCTCCAGACGATCCTTTAGTTTGTCAATTTGAATCTCACGTGAGGCGAGCTCCTTTCTAGAGAGCTGTTCTGCTTCCTGTTGCTCAGCAATTTGTCGATGGAGCGTTTGGATACGAGCTTCCTGAGCTTGCTCATTGCCCTGTGTCTTGTTGATGGTCTCCTCTAATCTTCGCACTGTGCTATCGCGCTCGGCGACGGCGGCCTCTGAATGAATAAGATCGCTCCTCACAGCCTCTAGATCGCGCTCCCCCGCCTCTAAACGGCGCCGAAGCTGAGCTTCCTCCTGTAGATGGATGGTGATGCGTTGTTCCTGTTGGACAAGTTTGCCATTCGCAACCTCCAGATTCCTCTTAAGCTCCTCAATGGTCTCATTCTTCGATACGAGAGAACTCTTCGCACAGCTAAGCTCCTCCATTAACTGACGAGTGCGCTCAGCGTATCGCTCGAGATTCTGAGAAAGGCCCTTATTGCCACCTGAATGGTCCAAGAGTTCAGCTCGGCAGCGCTCTAGGCGGGAGAGTGTATCCTGTATCTCGGCGTCCTTGCTACGACACATAGACTCCATAGCGGATTCGTGTTCATATTTCCGCTCCTTCAGCGCCTTGTCGTGGACCAACTCCAGTCTCCGTATCTCCTCCTCCTTATCCCGCAGACGTTGCCAACTGGTCTGGGCAGCCGCCTGATACTCCTCAATTTTACTTCGCAGGGCTGCCACCTCTTGGCTGAGGGTGTGTTGTGTTTCTTGCCGCTTCAGCTGCTCCTGCTTGAGTTCTTGCCTCAAGCGTTCATTTTCTTCTTTACAGGCAGATGCGGAGGCATTCGTTATAGCAAGCTGATCTCTAAGGTTACTAGTTGTCAATGATACATTGTCCTTAAGAGTTCCTAGGGCTGCTGTCGCCTCGCGCAATGCGTTCTCCTTGCTTTCTAACTGTCTGCGGTAGCGCTCTATTTCCTCTTGGTATTGCTTGGACTTCTCACACATTGAATTTAACTGCATTTGGATGGATTTTTCAGTTGCGTCCGCTTGCACTTTTACTCGTTCCAGTGTGAGACGGGTCTCCTGTAGAGTCTCAACCGTACGGCGCAGCTGATCGTCCTTGGACGCGATCGTGCGCCCCATCTCGGCTTGGATGTCAGTAGCCTTTGCGCAGCTCTCCTTCCACGACTGAGCTTCACGGCGCGTCATCTCCAAGAGGTGCTCCCGCTCCTGATGCTGCTGTCGTAACTCACTCACTACCTTATCGCTAGACTCTCGCTGCGCAGCGGCCTCTTGAAGGCTCTGCCGGTATTGATTAAGCGCATTCTTTAATTCCTTGGTTTCTTCTTCCATCGTATGAAGCTGTTGATTTAGTGCCGTCGTGATACGTTCATGCTTGGTAGTATTCTCAGTACTTTTCGCCTCAACCTGAGCCACACAACGCTCGTGCTCTTGTCGCGAGATCGAATCCTGGAGTCGGTTTTGAAGAAGGGCTACAGTCCCGTTGAGGTCACAGATGGTATCTTCAGACAACCGAACCTTATCTTGGAGCACTGATATTGTCGCGTGATGGGCACTTTTTCCCTTTTCCAAATCCTGTTGCCTGATAGCCGCTTCTTTCAGCTCTATATTGCACTCTTCGATTTGATGCTTGAGTTCCGCTATAGTTTCAATGTGTTCCCTAACCTCTTTTTGAAGTTTATTGCATTCTGTAGATAACCTTCCAGAGACCTCCTGCAACTCTTTGTCTTTAGCCTGTAGATCATTCTTAAGCGTCTCGCTTTGCGATAAGAATTCACTCATGACAACTTCACTCTCAGCGATCCTGTTTTTGAGTTGCATCTCAGTTGTGCTTCTTTCGTGTATTTCTGACTTGAGGAAATTAAGTTTCGTTTTGAATTTGTCATCGCATTTTTTATGGGAAATCCTTAGGTCTTCCATACCCTTTATAAGTTTTTGTATCTCATTGTCCTTTTCATTAATCACACGAAGGTACTCCGACAGAAGCTGGCCGACATAGTCGTTCGCCATTAGCACTTTGTTAATAGCTTCTAAAAAAAAAAGAAACGCTATAATCACAAATAAGCAGGAAAGAGATTTTTAGAAAATTATAAATAGTACATAAAACGATCTATCTATGATAAAGGGCTTATCTAATTGCTTGAGTTGGGCTAAACACGTCCTCCAGAAACGAGAGTGAGAATATATTTCAAAAAAAAAGAAGAAAAGAATACATGTATCCCTCATCTTGGTAATATTTTACGAGGTTTACATTACTGTCCTCCCTCCCCAACGTGTTAACACAAGCGTAATAATGATATTCTACACAACATGTAGGAAGTAAAAAATTCATTTCAGTAAGCGACTACCTCACCTGCGCTAAAGACGTGACTAATGAGCGCACACAGAGTAAAATAAATATCTATGAAAAGCGTTATACAAGCGGACCTCTTCATAGCTCAACCGTATTTAGCATATGCACGACACGATGTGGCAACTCCTCCTTTAACTCCTCACGTGACTTTTCAGAAACTAAAATAAGAAATCCCTTCTTGCCACTTGGAACGATCCGTATCCCACGCAGAGTATTATCCTCGAAGAGCTCCTTCAAGGGGTTCAACACTTGCGAAAGCAGATTCACGTCGGCAACCCAAACCACACAACGAGACTGCGAAAAGGGAAACTGTAATACCTTTTTCAACTCCTCCACATCTTTAATGGGCTTCGTCAGATGAATGACGACGCTACATGGACGCACGAAACTAAGCTCCTTAAACACGGAAGGCGCCGAGTCGGATCTGACATGCACCCCTGTGAGGGGCGCAGAGGAGCTCACAAACGGACCCGCCAACTTACTGTGAGCCACGTCCCCCTGGCGGGCAAAGCTGTGAAGCGCCTCCCGCACACACGGACACGCCGTCGTCGTCGTCGCCCCGCCAGGAGGTCTGTTAAGGGAAACAGGCTCCTGCGCAGTCCAAACAAAGGAGAACACAACCAGCCCCAGCATCCCCAGAAGCACAACGGTGAGGGCGAGCGCGGGCCCGCGTCGCGCGGCCGGGGGTTTCGGATCAGGCGGCGGCGAGATGGGCTTCACCGGCTTCGCCTGCTTCACCTCAGGTGTTGCCGTGGTGGAAGAAGGGGGGGGTTGGGGAGACTTCTTGGGAGTCCTGGGCTCAATGGACGCTCTCCGGCGTGACGGTGAGTTGCTCGTCGTCACAGGAGGGGAGTCCTTCTTTTTCTGAACAGATCTAGACTTCTTGGGTGGCATCCTTTTGTTGATCAAAGGTAAGCAGACCGCTTCTTATTATCTTTTTAAAAAATGGTTTATTGCTATGCAGGTACGTGTTTCCCTTTTTCTCTGGAGAAAATCAAAGGAAACTCTTAAATGGGAGCATTTTATGAAAAAAAAGGGGAATTCACACCCAATACAAGTTCAGCTCATATGTCATGGCTACAACTTTCATAGTCGTACCCCCATTCGCTCTCTAGTAAGAACGTAAAGGGGATATTATTTCACCACACATTTTGCGAAGCCCCGCTCCTATGTCATGTCGATGGCTGAAATCATTAGTAACAAAATATGATAATTCCAAAAAGTAGAAACTGCAGAGAAACAAACAATTGCATCATCAGAATCAAGGGTATTTTAGTACAAGATCTTTTCCCGATCACGAATACTAGTCTAGACTCCTCATGATATAGGAATAATCATGAAATTCCTGTAAAATCGCTTGTTTTTGCTACGTGAGCAACCCTCCCTCCGAGTCCCCCTCATTTGTGCGATTCGGTTCAAACTGGGCTTCAAATTCCTGCTCCATTCCGTGGCTCTTTGCCAGCTTTAGTACAAGCTGTCGTACATGGGGTGTTGGAAGCCACTGCTCACTATGCATACGCCGTACTAACTCAAAGGCGTACTGTGCATTGGTAGCTTCGCTTGCCGCTTCAAGCAGATGAGTATATGTGTGAGGGAGAAATGGAACTCCTTGCGTCTCTTGCACACGCCCAGCTTCCACGGCTTCAACAGGTCGTCCACTTTCCACCCTGGAGCGAATTAGGGCCAAATAACACACACTATCAAGCATCATCTCTTGCGAATATGTCTTGAATACTTCCTCCACTTCCTGAGGTCTCTTCCCCTCGACACAGGTGGCAAGGATGTTACTAACGCAATTGACATCTGGTCTGATGTTATCCCGTTCCATTTGCGAAAGGAATCGGAGTGCCTGCTCCCATGCACCTGGCCGTACGCACTGCCGCAACGCATTCCGATAATGACTAACGTTCATTGCAATGCCCTCGTGCCGGGCTGTGTGCCACAGCTCCGCAGCGCGAAACCAATTGTTAGCGTCCGGATTCAGCAGCTCCTGCTGAAGCGCGTACACGTGCCCGAACTGATGCATCCAGCCCCCGCCATATCGTGGCAAAAAACCCTGCCCCGAAGACCGGGGATGCATTTGAGTTAGTGGGATTCCGTTTGAGAAGAAGGCAAAAAGCTTCCTTTGGAGAGAGAAAGAGTTGAAACTCTCGTATCCCGTGTGAAAAATCCTTCTTCGGTAAGAGAAGGGTTAGCATATTTCAAAAAGGATGAGGAAAAGTGGGTTAACAACAAAAGACCAAAGGTGTCACATAAGCTAATTCCCTGAAAGCTTGTTCATGGAAACTATATCATAGATTATTTAAAAATCTTGGAAGAAAATAAAGAAAGATAAACGGCAAGAGCAGTTGGACTGGAACGCCTTATTCAAAAATGAATAGGATAAGTTGCTGTAGCTTTTATGCTTACAGCTCATCGACCCCTCATTCTACCATGATAGCTTATTTCGAGCGTTGACGCATGCGACGGCGGCGAAGCTTTAAGCGCTTTAAGCGCTTCTTGTGCCACTTCGGGCGCATACCGCGGGGCCGGCTGACAGTACCCATGATTTCCTACTCCTTCCTAGTGGAAACAAAATTATAAAAAAATGGTGGGCGTAAAATATTGAAATTATCGTTCCAAGAGAAACAGAAAAGGCTGAAAATAACAATTTCTTCATCGTTTTCAGAATTGCACAGTGCGATTCAAGTATGGGATTTTTTTAATAAAATAAATTAAAATCCAACTTTGGGGAACTAAGCATAGCAGTCACACTTACAGAACTCGCTGCCAACACAAGGGCTGCATTTTATCCCATTAGGGGATAAATTGCAACTAGATAACCCTGAGCCGAGCATACTTCTTCCCCGGTTCGACTACATCGAATCGCATGAAAGGAATAACAAGCTCGCTTATTTCGAGCGTTGACGCATGCGACGGCGGCGAAGCTTTAAGCGCTTTAAGCGCTTCTTGTGCCACTTCGGGCGCATACCGCGGGGCCGGCTGACAGTACCCATGATTTCCCTAAGTGAGATATATGGAATAGGAAGAACAAAAGGGGTAAGGCAGTGTCCATTGTGAATAAAAAGAAAAGGAAGGTTGGGACATAAAATACAATTGATCATGTGAAATTTTTTTCGCTTTAAGTAAAATGAAATACCTACAGATGACATAAATATCCACGAGCACACGACAACGTAAGTTATCAAAACCATCTTCGAAAGAGCGATAGGTGCTTCGTTGCAAACAATCGTGGTTAACACATTTTGTGGGGACGCAGGATGATTCTCTATCCTCCAGTTTCTAGAGAAATTAAGAACTTCAGTCCCTGATGTGTCCATTGATTTACTTGGAGCGTTGGCGCATGCGACGGCGGCGAAGCTTTAAGCGCTTTAAGCGCTTCTTGTGCCACTTCGGGCGCATACCGCGGGGCCGGCTGACAGTACCCATCGTCTCTACGCTATATATTTTTTTGAAAGTAGAGAGAGATTAAGAGAATGGAAAATAAAAAGGAGGAGAAAAAGTTAAGTAAATACATCGAAATGGTTTATAAATTGAACCGCCAAGAAAATTTGCTTGAAATATACCGCGGCTCAACGCACATACACACTAAGTGGAAAATTTTTTATAAATATATTAAAAAAAAATTAGTTCGGAACCTTCAGCTTTCCCTCCCGGACCTTGTTCTGGATCTCAGTCGGACTCTCGCCGTCAATCGTGCAGCCGATGGAGACAGCTGTGCCAAGCACCTCCATCACGACGGACTTCAGGTTAGCTCCCATCGACTTCGGCTGCGCCTCCTTCGCGATTTTGATGATCTCTGCGAAGGCGATGTTGCCGTCGTGCTTGATGTTCTTGACCTTCTTGCGATCGCGCGGCGGCTCCTTGAGGGCGCGGATGAGGCGGGAAGCAACCGAAGGAGTCACGACCACCGTCGCCACGCGATTCTTCACGTGAAGCTCGCAGGTGACCTTCAGACCCTTCCAGTCCTTTGTGGATTTGGCGATATCTTCGCCAATCTTCTTGGCGTTGAGACCGAGGGGGCCGACCTTCGGGGCCAGAGAAGCCGTAGCCGCCACCTCACCACCGACCGCACGCACGATCACGGTGATCTCCTGATTGGGATCGAACTTCGGAGGCATTGGTTTTCAGTGCTACAAGCAAAAGAGAAGAGATCCTAATAACACATAGCACGAGAGGTATTTGAAGGAAGGAGGTTAAGGCTAAGAAGAAGTCGCATTAAAACATTATAGAACATCTCTATTGAATTTAGATTTTGCTTCGGCAAATAACCAATTCCAATAGCTGAAATACTGTGGCCAAGGTATCTCCGCTGAAGTTAATTGCAGAAAAGAGTAAATAATTCTTAAATATGTGGGTAAAAAAAAAGTAACTATTACAACTTACGACTCCTAACGATCATGGCAGCAATACCACGCTCCCACTGGAGCTCATGCTTAGAACACTGCTGTCACAGCTCGCCTCATCGCATTCCTCCAGTAACGGCACAACGCTCCGCATCACCTCTTGCACCACTGCCCTGCCATTCTCGACTGGAAGGAGCTGTTTGGTTTTCTCTACTATCCAGAGAGCAGCATCGTCATCGATGGTCAGTAATTTCTGATAGCGGCAGCTGAGGTCCTGTACAGTCATATACACGATCTCAAGAGCTGTCTCCAGTGAAATAGGTAGATATGGAAGGGTTTGAATGATGGACGTCGAGCGCTGCGTGTAAAGTTCTTGAAATTTGGCGTTAATGAAGTCACGCATTTCGGCCAGACTCTTTCCTTGTGTAAGACCCTCCTTCCCAAAGTCTGTTGTTACAATCACTATAAGCCGTGCAAGATCGACCCGTGGAAACTCCGGAAAACGTTCCCCACGACCAAGAACAGGTAAGAGAAGCTTCACCTTTTGCGGCTCCAACGCTGAGAGGTCATTAATAATCAAAACACCATTGTTTGGGAAGCGTGCGGCGTGCCGGCATATAGTCGGCACAATGGATCGTCGAAATTCGGATAAGCTCATCCCATCATAGCTTGTGCCTGATAGCACGAGTGTGGACTCCCCAAGCGAGCAATCCTCATTCCCACAGCGCTGGGCCATAGCGAGGGAGATCGCCTCCGCGGTTCGGGTTTTGCCCACACCGTTGTCCCCCGCCAAGTGGAGCACAAGAGGTTCGTGCATGTGGGTCAACTTGTAGGCCACCGAGTGGAGGATGGACTGGAGGGAGTACTGACCTTTGACAAGGCGTGGGCCTAATCCCTGAAGTCGGCCGCGGACATACGCACGGTAGGCCTCCCCCCGGTGATCAAAAGGTGAAGCTCTTAATAGACACAGAACACGGCCTTTAAAGCTTATTCGTGGGGAGCTGCACAACGGCGGATCGATACAGCCCCCGTGCAAGCCGAGGGAACTAGGTGAGCCATCGTTAAGCAAAAGGTCCATAGATAAAAATATATACATTGCCCCACTCAGAGCAACCATCAAAATTGCTAATGCACTGAAAAATCCTATTTTCATAGCTTTATTGGGGGTTTCGATTGCCACAAGCAGATGGCTCTACTGCTACCCCACTACTATGTATCTTCCACTTTTCTTAGACGGGCACAAAAAAAGACAAGAAAGTAATATATGGAAAGACGATAGAGATTCTATTTATAAAAAAAAAAAAGGCATCATTCAATTATATTTATTTCCACCACAAGTATCTAACTGTTTCTCATTCTCGTAAAAAATAATAGAATCGTAATATTATCTTATTTTTAATAATTCGTACCAAAATTAAATCCTGATTTTTTCATTTATACCATGCTTTAAAAAGTTGTATTTGGATGTTGACTTACCTAAATTTTAATCACTGAATAGTGATCTCCAATACTTGTTGAAAATATGTTGCATCAAAAAAACAAAGACCAAATTAAATAATTATTTACCTATTTTCTCACTTGGAATAGCTATCCATATTTTTCACAGAAGCTATACCAATTCACAGATTCAGAACAACTATGGTCCATACCAAACTCAATTATAATTCATATTCATTCACTAAATAGAATTTTTTTCCAATTTTTCTTAAATAAATTACTAGGCTTTAAATCCTATATACACAACATAAACAAACGTATAATAAAATTAATAACTGCATTCCCCCAGAACGGGTGAACTTAAATTAGTTAGGAAAAACTTTTCTGATTCTTCATTACATTAACCTCAAGAAACCAGATGCCCACAGGAGTCATGGTGTTTTCAAATCATAAAAGCTTCAATAGCGATTAATTTATACGCAACCTGGGGATTTCTTCTCCTCTTCCTCCGGGATGCTTAGTGGATGATTGAGGTACATGGCTAGTGATAGGAAAAAAGCCCATTTTCCCATCATGAACATACCGATCATAGAGCAGAAATAACTTTTTCCGTCCCACCTCTGCTTCAACTTGAGACCCCTTATCATCAACCAGATTCCAAGTCCAACACCGACGAACCCAAGGCACATGAAGACGATATAGAAGCATATACGAGCCTTGCTCCCATATGGGAATCTGGCGTATAGTGTATAACGCGATTGATAATACATCCAGAAACGTATACCGATGAGGAAAACGACAACAAAAAAACCTGCAGCGGCCCATTTATTATCATAGTGGAAAAGAAAATCGAAAGCGCCAACCACGTATGCAATTATGAACGCTGCGTAGAGGAACAACATCACGTAATAAATTACTTTCTTCCTTCCATCGCTCGTTAGCTTCCACATTTTCGTCCCAAATTTTTTTAAGGAGAGGCTGATAAATCGTCGCTGGCTTATTAAATCTTTCTTAACACAAATAGGTTTGTTAAAAGGAAAATACAAGTCTAATCTAGAAATGCAAAGAAACCCTTGATAAAAAGTAAGAACGGATTGTTAAACAGGCACATTGAGTTAAGTAAATATAAAATTGTGAAGAATTTGAGACAAAGAGCTCATATGTACAGAAAGAATAATTTCCTTCATCCCATCATTTGAGAATCAATTCACTTTTATGCTTTAACTGAATGTAAAAAAGTATATCAAAATCGTAAGAGCGTCTGTTTTACATAATCTCTGTGACAAGCATGAAAATTGAGTACTCCTGCATTTTCGACAATACATCCCTCGATTGACAGTCATAAAGATCATAACTCGTGCCTCCTCGCATTTTTATTGATGTTTATGAGTTTCCGTGTGTGGGATCCTCGCCAGGCCATACTTCATAGCACAGCAAGCAATACAAATTCACTGAAACAAACCAGCACATCCATTCAGTCTGTCAAAACCGCTGATCGCTACACCCATCACAGCCATATTAGGTTCCCCCTATAATGCCTTCAAAAACGACAGTTTTGGCTATTACTGTCAGAAACAAGTGGAAATCCCCCTATACATTATAATACGACAAAGTAGAAAATATTATAGCCCATACAAATGCATGGTAGAAAAAAAATGAGTGCAGACTTAAAGCCTGAAAAATATATCCCCTTACTAAAAGGAAGAGAAACAGGCTAGTAGCCAAGATAAAGAACGAAGAAATTTAGGTGATCTACAATGGAGTTAAACTAAGACAAAAATAAGTATGTGAGCATGTGACAGTTCAAAATGTCACTTTTCAGAAAACTTTATAATAGTAAAAATTCTTCGGCATTCGAACATCTTATTTTTACCCTAGAAAAACTATATAAACCTATATAAAAATTGATCACGTAGGAAATCCCCTTGGTAAGCTAACATGTTTACAAATCAATTTTTTTTTTTTACTTCCCCACGACCTATTAATTCAAAATAAAAGCGTATCAATTTTTTCACCTCTTCGTTTGCATCTTAACATATACTTCTAACCAACTTCATGAGATGGTAGAAGATTAACCAAAGTCTCAGCGAAGCAAGAGTAATGATGAAGAATCAGAATTATGCTGAGAACTGAGAACTTATCCGAATGAGGTATCAATAAATAACTGAATTGTTAGGATATATGTAGATAGATATTATGTAGTTCAATGAATTGAACCATACACCTTTCAATTGAATACAATATATCGTACCTTGTTAAAGCATTCGTTCAATTTCTCACTGTATTGTTGTAGCCAAGTAATGTAGCTCTCGTTTTTTATGTCGAACTTAATTTTCCTCTTTATATAATTCCTATTAGCAGAAATTCTGATCCAACCAGTCCCTAATTTCTTTTCTTCTTCAGACCCTTTGGGAGGCTTTAGTCTAGAAGCAGCGAAATATAGAAGGAAGCCTAAAAACTTCATAATAATGCTTCCATATATCGTTGATGGCTGAAGTATCATCTCTGTCCTCTGATGGGAAAAAAAAGACACACATATCACATTATTGAAGAATTTGACAAATCACATCCGCGCTGTTCAGTATAGGTCCTGAGTTGGTGGAAATGCTGCACGTGATAGTAAGAGCACCTTCCCTGATGACTCCCGGCTTCTGCTCCATGGGAATGCTATAGCTGAAACTTCTCCAAGTCTACACCTCGGATGTGAAAATACACGGCTGGCTTACGAGCTCTGCTTATTCATTTTCGCCTCAGCCCTCTTCTTAAGCATCATGTTACGGTTTCTCTCAATGACATCCTCTGGAGTGTACACAAGGTTTTTAACTAGGCCCAGACGAGAACCCAGCCAAATAGTCCATTTAGTTGGATCAAAATGATACCATCGAATACCGTTGCGGTAATCATTCGCAAATTCGTGATGAAAGTTGTGGTAGCCTTCACCAAATGTCACAAGTGCACAAAGAGCCGAATCATGAGAACTGTGAAGGTCAGAAAAGTTCTGCTTGGCACCGAAAAGGTTGGTATGAGCCAAACTGTTGATGAAGAAGGTGTTGTGATGAACAAAGGCGATCTTAGCGAGAGAGGCGTAAAAGTAGCCACCCAGCCAATCGCCCCAGCCCAAACCACAGATCAATGTCGGCAAAATTATTCCAGAGATAACAGCTAATGGGAAGAAATGTCTATGCTGGAACTGGACCACTTTGTTGTACTTATAGTCCGTTATATCAACCTTCCCCAGAAGAGAGTAGTTCTGCTTCATAACCATCCAGCCAAAATGGGAGAAGATAAATCCCCGCTTCGCATTGTAAGGATCCTTGTCAGTATCCACATAACGGTGGTGAATGCGATGGTTCCGGCCCCACCATTTGATAGAGCCCTCAAAAGCACCAGCCCCTGCAAAAGCACACAAACACTCCCAAAAGCGGGACGCTGTATAAGAGCGATGGGAAAAGAGGCGATGATAACCAACTGTGATTCCAAGCATGCCGTTAAAAATGTAAAAGAAAAAGGCAACACATAAAGTTTTCCACTGCAACGGAACCCCCATCAGAGCTGCACCAATGGTTAAGACCAACGGTATACAAAGGACACCCACGGCAATGTAGTTCACTTCGTAGTTACCTGTGTGGTAACTTGGTACCTGTTGAGGTGTTTTTTCATGGGTTTCAAGCCCATTTGGATTTTGCTTTAGGGACATGTATAGATGTTATGCTTTTATGTTAAGATAATGCGTTTAGTAATTCCTTTCAGCAAAACAAAACCGGTTAGTGCAAGTCAGAATAATTGAAAGAGTAAGGAAGTACTTAAAGAATCATACAATTAGAAATGTTTCAAAGTCTATCCTCCTCTCTTCAAATCTTTTCCCCACAATTCAGAGAGTAAAAAGAAAGGAAGGGAAAAAGTTCCGTGCAAGGATGCACTGATACATGTCCAGAAATTAATCGAAGTTTTACTGATAACAATTAGGAATTTGAAAAATGAAGAGTTAGTAAAGGTTTCAAAAAGTCAGCAACTGTGGTTAAAAATTAAACCAGCCAATCAGTGTACCCAAATGCGAACCTTTTTGTCCTTTGAACCTGTTGCCACTTTTTGACCATCAGGGCTCCAGTCTGTCGCATAGATCTCATCACTGTGGCCAGACATGTCCTCCACTAGCTCGCGCTTCGCCACAGACCACAACTTGAGTGTAGTGTCCTTGCTACCGGACACCAGCATACGAGAATCCAAACTCCAACTTACGTGATAGACCGCCGCGACATGCCCTCTAAAGGTCGTGATGAACTTGCCATCTATCGCACTCCATAGCTTAACGCTCTTGTCAGCTGAGCAAGAGGCAATCATCGATCCGTCCGGGCTGAACTGAATGTGAAATACAATTCCTTGATGGCCTGTCATGCGTGCGACAGGCTTGGCACTCGCCTGCGGGCTCCATAAGAACATTGTATTATCGTCCGAGCAGCTTACGAGTCGCTCCATCCCATCGGACCTCTTCACCACCGCTTCATAGCGTTTCTTCGCATATTCCTGCTTTTCCTCGAGATTCTCAAAGGTCCGCTCCTCGTGGTCGAAGCACCCCGTACGAAGTACTAAGTCCGTACTAAGGGCCAAGAAGTTCACCCAGTGGGCATGCCCCCGCAGAACGCACTGCGCTGACCCATTTGTCGAGTCCCAAACGATCAGCGTGCGGTCCTGCGAGGAGGAGTATATGCGGTCCTCACCGCCCCACCGGACGCAGGTCACGCAGGACTGGTGGCCCGATAGCGAGAACTGTATCCCTGTCGTGACATGCCAAACCTTCAAGGAGGAGTCCTTGCTCGCGGAGACAAATCGATCGCACTTAATGTTCTTGTGCAACGGCTCCCATGAAATGTGAGATATGTAATTATTGTGTGCTTTGTGCTTCTTACCACTAAACTTTGCGTATTCGCCATCGTGCCTCCATATGATGAGCATTCCATCCTTGCTCCCACTAACTAAATACTGCCCATCCGGGGACCATGAAAGCACCTGAACCCAGCTTGTGTGTTGCTTTAGCTCTTCAAATGGAGTAAGGGTGTTAGTATCCCAGATTCGAATCTCCTTATCCCCTCCCCCCGTCGCCAATACTTGACTATCAGGCGAAAAGGAAACGACGAGAATTGCTTCACTATGGCCATCCAGCGTCCCCGCGCAACGAGTCACTGGTCTCACGCGAAACACAGCCTGAGGTTTATAAACAATGTCCAGTACAGTTTCTTCTGGAGGTTCAAATGTGAGCTTATCCACGTCTTTCTGGCGCACACGGCGACCCTCCTTCAGCATCTTGTCCACGTACCTGTTTTTTTGTGCCTGAAACAGAATGTCTCGAACGTTACTATTTAACTGTTCTCCATCAATGAAAAAAGCATATGGAATCACCTTCTGTTCTTCTTCCAGAAATGAGGATAGCAGATCATCCAACTGCTTGATAGTAGCCGATACAGGCAATAATATCTGAGTTCCTGTGGGCTCCCCATGATCATCGATAAATCGAACCATTATCTTTTGCTCATCTTCACTCTTGTCACTTAGAATGTCCTCTTCACGAATGACATCACGTCTCTGCTTCTTGCGGATCGGCATATCTGTGTTCGCACTTTTAAATATAACATGAGAGAGAAGTAAGTTAGATTATACACAATAAAGATAAAGAAGGAAAGTACTGAGGCATTAAATATCGCGTCTACAATTCTCACATGCAATAAATGTGTAGTAGTGCAACACACGCAAAATTACACAAAAAATGTCATTAATAATAATATGCACAATTCATGATGTTCAATAGAATGAACAACACGGAGGGCTTCTTTTCATAGCTTAACATTGCCGAAAAGCTTGAAAATCAAACTCCAAGGTGCTGCCACTAGCAGGCAAAACACATGTAAGCAACGTCCTAAAAGCAATGGGAAAACACCGATGGAGATTGATTCGATGGCTCAAGTTGCGTACGTCAAATAGACACAGTAATGTTTAATAAACGGTCAACCTGGCGTGTCAACTCGATTCTTCCGAAACCCGTCCATTGCTGTATAAAGGCATCATTCCCCATCTCGTTCCCGCTTTCGGCTGTTTGGCTCTCTTGCGGCGGTGATCACGTCACCTTCTTGTTTTGAAGAAACTTCTTGAATAGTTGAAACAAGATTATTGCTTGTCGTTGTGAAAGGAGACTTAGAGGGCCGCATTCTGCCCATCCGCTCCAGGACAGCCTTGGAAAGCAAAGTGGTCCCAAGATCACGTTCGTACTCCCAGGGTTGAGCCATTTCTTTGAAGAAGTTACGCGCCACAGAAACTGCTGCAGCAACGCTTAGATTTGTATTGTCCTTCAGGCATTGTTGAATCCAATTTGGAATTTTACGCCGTTTGTCATTTAACGCAAAGCGGCGATCAACAAAGAACATCATGCCATAATCCACCTTGTTGCGCAAGACACGACCAATGCACTGCGATGCTTGTCGCATCGCATCAAAATTTCGATATTCACTCTCCGGTATTCCAAGGCATACCTCCATCCAATGCATCCGCTGTCGCAGAGGCTCGTCATTTGGTGGCAAAAAAGGAACCCCAAACATAACTACAGCACGGCCGTAGTGGCGATCAAAGTCGATCCCCTCCGCAATCTTGCCTCGGGCAATCGACATAAAGATGGCGCCTCGTCCGATGTCACACGCGCGACGGTAGTTCGCCAAAGCAATAGAAGTTTCCTCGACTCCTTGCGTTTCGATGAACAAGAGCTTATATTTGGTTAACTCCTGCAGAAACCCATTGCTGTGCCATGCAAGAAGCACCTCACCCATGTACTGGTAACCTGTAAAGAAGCAAACAATGCCGTCAGGAACCGTCTTGGCCAACTCCATCAGAAGATTCTCATATGCTGATATCACCAGGGCCTGGGCCTCTGGTGTGGTGCGCACCTTGAAGCTGCTGGTCAGCTCCTCCGATGTAATACTGATACTTTCAGAACTTCTCGTCACAATAACTGGAGCAATGCACTTGCGACTCAGGGTCATCTGAAAGGATTTAGTGATAACCGGGGTAAATCCAAGTATCTTAGGATATATATCGAGGGGAGAGAGAGTTCCAGAGGTAAGGATTACATTTCGATAACGCGAGAAAACATCCCTTAATGCCAAGGAAGCATCGACACACACAGTACGAATAACTGGATCAGGTACATGGGGACGAGTAGGGTCGTGCGCTTCACACACCACAACAAAACTAGGCTTTTCATATCTGTCATCTGCGTAATATGTGGCCAGAATGGTGTACATTTGGGCTACCAGTGATATGGAATAGTATTTGTTTGTATTTGTTATTTGGAGCGTGGTAAGCAGAGCCTTCAACCGTTCCGATAGATATTTGAGATGATTGATATCCACAACGCACTCCTCCTTCAGCTTTGTAAGAAAGGTTAGTGGATCGGCCACGTATGTTCGCGTGATACGCGTAACGATTCGATGCGTGAAATCTACCAAACGCTGCATGAATCCCAGAAAGTGATCAGCAAGCCTAAGGCTACCTGGAATAGCTTCCTCTGCTATAGTTTCTGGTATTGGAGGAGCTTGTACTGCGAAGCTGTTGTCCTGTGGCGGTCTTGCCATCTCTGCCAAGGCTAGACCGTTTACCAATCGGTCATACTCATCCTGCAATTGCTGACGGCTAGTGGACTTCAGATGATCAAGGCTTTTACTAAGGTCTTTCAAATTTTGTTTCGCGTCGAATGAGTCTCGTTTTGTCAAAATGATAGACATTGCTTCAATGCATACATCATCTACATTATGCCCCTCGTCCATAACAACGATGGTATTTTCATTTAAGAACTCACGAACAACCCCAGACACAATAGGGTCTACCATGTATAAATAAGAATGAACAACAAGATCAGCCGCTACGAGTGATTTTCTCGCTAAGTAATACGGGCACACATGATGTTCTTCACCAAAGCACTTAAGGTCATCCAGCGAGTACACACCCGGGGGAAGCTCGATTGACAACTGGTCTAGTGTATCGAAATACGAGCAACGGTCCTCGTCTTGCCAGGGTGCCGTAATACTCCGACAACCAGCATCTACGTCATCAGGGTTCGAATTGGAAGTCACTTGTGAATTGACACACAAATTCTTCTTGGCTGTTAAGCAAACCCCTAGCAATGGTCGTAATCTCTCACCTTCTATCTCCCAACGCTTTAAGAGTTTTTTCATCTCATTCATCGTTTTAGTCATTTCTTCGACTGTTCTTGTACAGTAAATGACTTTTCGTTTTTCAGATGGATGATGATGGAGATAGGCCACTAGTATAGAGAGTAACGAAATTGTTTTACCGGTTCCTGATGGCATTTCAAGCACCATATGACCCCCCTGATCAAGTCCTCGCTTCAACTCTGTTAGATAATCTAACTGCTCAGGATAAATGTATTCATATGGAAAAACAACAAGAACTTCATCTACATAAAATTTCATCGCTTCGCTGAGCTCTAAGACAGAAAAAAAAGGAATGACAACGGAGGGTATTAAAAGCAATACGAAATAACAAAAGCAATTGAACAAGTTACCTGAGAAAAACGCACAAAACACGGAATCAGAAACACTGAATACGTGAAGCATGATACGTGTTGATTTCAAAATGTTGGCACACATAATAGCAGCTAGTAGGAAAGCAAAGAAGTATTTGTTCACTTAGCAAGAGAGTCAAACACACTAATAGGGAAGACTACGCATTTCATCCGTTACTATTGGCACTGTCACACTGATGTCGCTACGTTTTCGTTTTATACGTGCACTTCATTCATCATATTAAGTTGTGTGCATGCGTATTTGTCACGATACCTTTTCAAAATGTTTAAGCGATGTATCTATATTTTGAGTGGTTGCCTTGATCGCGCTCAATATACCCCTTTTGAATTAGCTCTTCGATTCTATGCTTCACTAATCTCAGATCAGGAGAAAAGTGTGGTTTCAGTCGTTTTCGGCATTCATCAACAAGATCCTCGTGATCGATGGTACAAAAGCTCTTGAGGATTCTTACCAAACATATGTCAATTGCTGATTTTCTGTCGTTACCCGACTCCGGAGTAGACTGCCCATTGTTGACAATATTCGTCCAAGCAAGTGTTGGTGGAAAACTAATTTTAGAGTTACAGGCAGTGTAATTATCATTGACTATTAACCTTTCAGATGTATCCTCTACCTGACTCAACTGATTCGAACGCAACAGGACTTTGCCTTTAGTAAGGGGTGGCAGACTTTGATGAAGCTGGTTATTCGAAATTCCGTTCACTGTCATGATGTTGTGAATACTTTGCTCCGATATTGTATTAAAGGAAAGCAAAATCAAAGCTTGGATTCCAGAAACATTAAAAATATATGTTCCTTGCTCATATGTGGCTTGTAACTCCGCATTGCTGACCTCATGGGGCCAAACAAGAGCACGACCTTTCATATCCCTGAGGTAAGCATCCTGCAAATGGTTTAATGCTTCTTCGATAAAATATGGTAGAATCAGAGAGCTTTTCAGCGATAGGCAATCTGGCCAGATCCCCTTTCTTGCAAATATCACTGAAACATTCAACGATGGTGTTTTACCCAGAGATTGAAGTAATTCGGCAGCATGAAATGACTTACTGGTGTGATAATCATTTAGCATACCCTCTAAATGTGCAGTGCTGGTAGACCCCCATCGCTGCTTAATATTTTCGATGAACATCCACTCGTTACCTTCATTGAATGCTTTATTAGGAAAGATAATTCGCTCAAGCAAACGCTCTTTCAAGCACAACAAGAAGTAGTCCCTTTCAATCACATACATTAGTACTGAAACGACGTTTTCGATCTCTTCCTTTACGGTGCCATTTTCCTTCTGAAGCACTACGTCGATATAGTTGGCAAGAAGCTCACAAAACAAGATGCGGCACTCTTGCTCAGCGTGATGGGTTTTGATTTGCACCCTTCCATTGAAAATACGAACTAAGCCCTCCTGAACCGCTCTTGATATCACGAAATCTGAACGAAAACAATCGACAACCAATCGTTGGAAACCCTCTTGCAATTGAATCATTGAGGTTAGATATTTTACTATGTCGACTATCGCTTCATCACCTTGAAGGAGATGTGATAATTTGTTGGCTTCGATTTCAATTTCTTCTCGCACTGATGAAGATAGCAATTTAATTCCAGACTTATCACGTGAGAAGAGATCATAATACTTTTTTAGAGCAATCTCATCGCGAGTGTGTAACGCAAGAAAGAACCCATTATCAGAGAAAATCAATTTAGAGTGCACTATTGGAGAACTAATGACTGTACTTTCTATACTTGGCATGATCATTTGCTCTTCATCTTTAGAAAAGTACTCCCTGCAGCGGCTTCTCTCATTTGAAAGAGCTTCGTGGATTTTTTCTAAATACTCGATTCCATCAGTATCCGTGCACCACGTTTGAAGTAATTTATTGTACTCACCAGTTAGTCGCTCTATGTACGGATGCAAAAGCCTGTCAAAGTAAATGAGCTGTGCATCGCATGTATCCAAAGATGAAAAAAGATCTACCGCACTGGTGATCAGTGTCCGATTCGTAGAATGCTCAAAGGTATCCTTGATCAATAAATCCTGCGTAACTCGACTGAGGACGTCGGCATGAAGTTTAAATATACGTTCAAAAAAAATTCCAAGCGCAACCTGTCGAAGGGTTGGCTTGGAATGGTTCACTATATAATACCTAGAAAGATAGCTAAAGGCCCACATGCTCCAATTCATGAGAACTTTATAACGACCCCATACATCCAGAATTTTCCGGAATAAATCTATTTCACTTGGAGCTGTAAGATCACAAAATTGACGGAGATAACTCGTAAAAATTTCATGATAATCCATATATAGCACCTCTCCTAGATCAGAACCAGAGTACTCTGAGCCTTTGGAAGTGTTTTGTGTTGCAGCCGTGTAGACGATATAGTAATACTTCATACGAGACGCAGGATCGAGATGGCATTTAAATTCCTTATCTGGGAGATCAGCTAGTCTCACCAAATCAGCTTTCAGTCGACGTATTGCCTCTCGGTCCTCCTCGAGCATTATCTAAAACGTATTATTCTTGATTTTTTAATCAATATTGCTCACAATAGGTGATGATATCCTAATTTGGAAAATTTATTGCGTGCTATATAGATATGGTTTAAGACCAGAAGTTTCTATATGAGGGCTCCGCGTCATATGTATATGTGAAAAAAAAAAGCAATATTTAAAATATGTTTGGAGGTTTTAAAAACAAATGATTAGAGTAAAAATCATCACTGTACACTCATTACTAAATTGTCACCCTCAACAGCTCTTCACTCTCACAAATATTTAAAAAGGAGGAAAGAGTTTGTGATACGTGATATTATTTTTCAAAAAATGAAAAATATTTCAAGTTCTTCAAAATGTCATATGGAGCTTGTCAATATCATCAAAAATATTCGATAACAAAGCAGCAGTAGTGCAAAAAAGGTTCATCTGAATCTCTAAGGAATTAATCATTTCCTCCAACTTATCTAAAAGAATCGAAACTGGATAATGCCTAGAAATTAGCTCTTTCGTAAAACCTCCCCCTTTTCCTTTAAGACTATCCTGGAATATGGTAAAAAATTCTTCAACGTTTGTGAGTTCTGAAACAGAAAGTACTTCTAATGTGTCAGATATAATACTAGGGTTTGATCCTTTTCTTAAGCCCATAGCTCCGGATAATTCTAAAAGTTGCTTCAACTCTGCCTCTAGATCATCAAGATTCGAATATTTTACAGTTGACGAATGACTTGAGAGAAAACGATGAGCGTTTTTAGCTTCATTTTCACTAAATTCATATCCATGTCGCGCTCGAGCCAAAAGGGTCTCAGTATCAAAAACACCGACCCAAAAAGCGCGCTCAGCTTCCGATAAAAAAATATGTGGACATAATGAGCTTAATCGAGTCGGAATTCTTTGAGTATTTGTACGCAGATATGTTTTGCAATTTGTAACCGTGTTTTCAAGGGGAATCCCAGCTGATATACTTCCGTCGAAAGGAATACCTATCAATGGCGAACTCACATGATGATTTAGTTTATCAGAAGAACCGCTCTCATAAACTTCATATTTAACTGGACGCATTACTATATTAATTTATCATCGCTCTATGTAAATAATAATAGGTACAGAATATTATGCAGCAAAAAAAAATTGAAGCACAGACCAATAAATACTTATTTCTACATGTGTATACAGAGTTTATTAATAATGTGATTATTAAGCATCATGTATTTCGGTTAATAATATACATGCATACATCTCCATCTGGAAAAAGAAGAGTTCATTCAGGATTGCGGTGAAGTTGAGGTTTGCTGCACCCCATTGATAATCTTGGTTATGTCCTTCTCCATTTCCGAAATGCGTTGGCACAGCTCAGCATATTCATTTTTTTTGTTCCTAATCCTTGCATCATAATCTGCTTCGCATTCTTCTATTTGTTTCTGTATAATTTTCTTTGCGCCTTGACTACTCAATATTTGTGTATCAACTTGAACTAATTTTTGTATTGCCTCCGTTTCTCCCGACTTAATTTGACGCACAAAATCTGTAAGAATATCTTGGTGATCTTCACTTTGTAGTTCAAACGTTGCCTCGATACGTTTAAGCTGCTCTTGAAGCATTAGTTGCTTCTCTCTTTTGAGAGCAATGCTTTTTAGCCGTTCTATATATGTCTTCTTCAATGCCACTAAGCGAAGAGAAAGCATGATCATCTCATCATTAAGACTCTGGCTTTCAACGGAAAAATTCGATGAATAATTCCGAGATGATTTTTTCAGAGAGGTTCTGCTCGACATATTTATTTGATTTTCTGATACATTTATATATTTGAATTAATAATATAAAAAAAAAACAATTTAAAGAGAAGGATATTAAAGAAGGAAAGTAGGAAATCAATCATGATGAGATTTAATAAAGTTGTGAAGCATAGATTTAGGAAAATCAATGTTTAAAAAAATCATGATAACCGATAAATATACTCCTTGGGCTTAAGCTTTTCGATTATTTTACTTTCCTTTCATCGACAAAGCAGCTTGTTTGTTTTTCTGATTCCATATTACTAAATGATCAAGAAATGTCCGTACCTTTAAACCACTTCCCTGCCTCAGCAGGTTGAATGTGAAAAGCCTTTTGAATGAATGCGTGTTGTAACAGCTCTGATGCCGTTGGCCGCTGTTTTGCTGGCGCTAAACATAACTCAACAAGGTTAACAAACTCACTACTAAAATCCCTCTTACATGAATTCCAGTCAATACGAGCCGTTTCTAAAGCAATCGCTTGGCACAATTCAAACATCTTTGATTTAAGTGAAATGAATGGGTACTGGCCCAGTGCGCATTCAGCAATAGTCAAGCCAGCGCTCCAAATGTCACTATCGAACGAATAAGGCTGAGATTTTATTCGTTCTGGGCTCATATATGGAATAGACCCTTGAGAAGACAACGTTTGTAGGTCGGCCCCGGAAAACGTTTTAGCCACACCAAAGTCTGATATCTTGACTTCACCTTTACTATTTACAAGAACGTTAGCAGGCTTGATATCACGATGAACTATTTTGAGACTGTGGAGATACTCCAACCCCTGGAATAATTCACGCGCAATGTACGCAAGCATTTCTTCACTCACACCCTCGGGATGCATTTTAATAATATCATTGATTGTTCCTACATCCATATACTCCAAAACAATATAGAGTCTCCCGTCACGAAAAAAAGCTTCATAAGAAGAAACAATATTTTTATGTTTAACTGCAGCCACTTGTCGTAGCTCAGATTCAAGGGCTAAACGTGTATAATCTGAGTCACTCTCGAAGGCGATATATTTCAGGGCATACTTTTCATTATTAAGCTTGTGCCGGACAATGCGAACCTTTCCTTGGGACCCTCTTCCCAATTCATTACCTATTTGTAGGTCCTCGAATTTCAATTTATTCATCACAGCATCCGACTTCGGTTGATCCGGGGTTGTTGTTGAGGGTGCACATTGAGCAATTCCTGTTTGTTTTACTCTCATCTCGACCCCACCTTCGCCCTTAATTACTAAAGTCATTGTGTCAGTAATCGATACAGACTTATTCTCTCGTGTAACCTGCAGCTGTTTTAGTGAACGTGGCCTTTTGAGGGGCATTTCAACAGTTGAACAAAATGTAAAGAGTAATACTATTGTCAGATCGCTATCCTTCCTTCACTTTTTATCTATTTAAGGAAAAAAAGATATTTTGTTATGTACATATACGTATGTATGTATATATATGTACAAATTCTATTATTTTTTCTAAATGCAAAAGAAAAAGAAAATAAAAGATACAAACCATGCCCTGTTATACTAATCATTACACGATGTTTAGAAAATAAAAGATATCGCCACAAAGAATTCTAAGCTACACACCTTTTGGGGACTGATAGGTAATAAATGATTGATAAGATGCCTGTAGCATGGAAGGCGGACCACAACACCTCATTGCACAGTGGAGTGTCGACACACCCTAATCACTACACCAAAAGGCCTCGCACCGCAGGCCCACCTGGGGTTCATTTAATTGTAACCCCCGCCCCGCCTGCCGTCTTTTTATTTCATGGCGCGGGCTATGGCATTTGCACCCCCCCCCCCCCTTTACCCCTTCCTCTTCCTTTTTCGCATCCGCACTGACGCCCTAACTAAGTTATATAAAAAAGAAAAGACGTCACGACTTGGCAACAGTTTGTTGATACTGGATTAAATTCTCATGTTACCCCGGGAGAAACACAGAAACCCTCTCTCTTTCATCCTTTTTTCATCTTAAGAATCGGATTTCCATGAGAGCGCTTCGCCAGCTACTTGCAACAAAAGACTTCGATGCCTGGTCGTATTCTATTTTCTGGCCGCAAATGAGGGAGGAGCTCCCCCTCCTTGATATAGTAAATTCAACAGTGGAAGATATCAAATTCGCTTACAATGCGTGGTCCCTACTCAGACTAAATATGTTCTTCGGCATGAGGCATCCTACTGTACTAAGTGGGCTTGTGAACACTAGGCCATCAATGGATATAACGTGTAGAGGCAATAGAATATTCTACGAGCATGCGACCGTAAATGGAAGTTTAAGTTCCAATAGAATTAAAGTTGCGCTGACACTTCCGGGCCCCAAGGCGCAACCCATTCAACTATTTCCTTGGGAGGAAGTAATCAGTAAAAGCATCGCTTCAATAGAAAATAGGGGTATAGAATTGGTGTTGGGAATGGAAAATGGCATGTCTGAGGCAGTTTCTAGTCGATGTAACTACCATGTTTTTATTCCTCAATATGGATCAATTGGCTCCTTATCAATGCTATCCGCGCTTTCGATTGCCATTCATACAGCCCATACCGCTTACTATTGTCTGCAAAAAAGCACAAACGACGCAGGACTCTTAAAAAATACAACTATAGGGTGTACTTCTGGAAGCAATAACTTATATCGTGTTGCTAAAACACTGCCACAAGAGTCAAATACAGTAAAGAGTTCTGTTGAGCAGACGCGTGCCGTTCTAAAGGAAAGGAGAAAATCGTATGCCCTTCAAATTGCTATAATCATGCATAACGACCTTGGTGATCGCAATATTGGAGCAGTTATAAGAAATGCGAATGTCTTCAATTGTGAGCAAATGATTATTCTTAATCGACGACGTTTCAACAAACGTGGTGCCATTGGAACCCAGCACGTACTTGATTTGAACTACTATAAGGATATAAATGACCCAGCACTGGAATACATACTGAGGGTGTATGTCGTTTGGTTATTATACCCATATTACCCGTATCTTCAAATTTACTCAAATTTACATCCAAATGGATTTAATTCCGGACCCTTTATTCAACATGGGAATGATGAACTCAAAAGTTGGCAATCAACCAAGCATCATTTAACTCGGGAGCACCCTCTTATTCAATGGTTTCCACACCTCTTGAATAGTGAACTTTATCTAGATGATGAAAACACTCTCTTATTAGCAATTGAGGAAACGAAGCGGAAGGGATACAAAGGTATATTGCTTGCCGTACCCGAAGAAGGCACATCTCCTCATCCACAGCTAGCTCATATAAGTTCGCGGACCCTCTTCATTACTCACCCAAATTATCTCAACCTGAACGTGCAACGTGGACTAAACGCTGCTCTTGCAACATCAATCGCCCTTGAAAGAATACGTTTTTGTATAACCCATCTATCCTAACGTATAGTGCTAAGTGATAGAAATATGTCAAACTCATTGATGAACAATAATAACAATTGCCAAAATATAGTACTACTTCTTAAGAGCATATTAGAACTCGTATTGCACTACTTGCAAGAATTATGCCTCAACGAAATAATCTTTTCCTCAGCATCTATGATGCACTCAGAAAATTGATGTATCGCACATGTAAAAGATATATTTCAAGGGAAGAAACGCATCGTCATTGCCTTCCTAATAACACACAAAAAAGTGATTTCTTCCTTTAACGAGGATATGAAAAAAGAGCACACCAACATATGTAGAAAAATGTCAGGAATACATTTTTTTGTGTGAGAGAGTAGTGGACTTTTTATGTTAGTGTTATCTTTTAAAGAAAAAAGCAGGCTTATCGAAAAGATATCAAAATCAAACTGTAATATTGCAAGTCCTCTATTTCAAAATACCAATCGATCACTTTTATGCATTACACGTCAAGTACATGGGATAAAAAATGGGTTGGTTATAATATTATAACTGCTAGATAGAGGCTAAAGAATACCAATCTCTGCGGCTACACCTCATTTTCTGCTGTATAAGTATGCAGCTTTTGTAATATATTGCAATAGGTTTCACGAATCTGAAACCTCATTTGGTGTGAATTCACTAAAAAGACACTGATTAATTAAAGATTTTATTCATATCGGAAAGGCGAAAGATTCATAAAATGTTGTTCGTGGCTGTATCTTCATGTTTAATACTTACACTTTCCTATAAAACATTAGGCACAAAGTGTCTCACAACCCAGGGAGATACTTCCATGATATGTACTATATGTAACTAAGTGGTTGAGTTGTAGGTATTCTACTCCTTTCGCTTTCTTTCATGCTTGTAACTGATGCGCTTCTCATATTTCACTACATTTTCTATTTATTTTTTCATAGAAACTTTGTTTGTTGCTTTTATCACGAACGAAAGACTATCAAACACAGGGGAGTACGAATGGTATTATTATGATGACGACAGCTATGACAAAGGTGAGTCAATTGAGCAGGGGTCATGTGTGCCCCCTTCACCTAAAACTGTTTTGCTGTCTGATCTCATGAAGCTTCTGCTAAACGATGCGGAGAAGGTGCGTTCGCTCACCGATCTTCCCTTGTCAGTATCCATCCTGTTGCTACAGCATTGCAAGTGGCTCTCTGAGGTAGCAGTGGAGGCATATTGTGAAGACTTTACAAAACTGCTTCAAAATTTGAAGTTGACGACAGACATAGCATTGCATGAGCCCACGCTTGTAACGAATGCGGAGAGAATCGAGTGCCTCATATGCGTTTCTGATGCTGAGAAGGGTGAGGCAGTTGGGCTCTTGCATTGCAAGCACTTCTTTCATATAAAATGCTGGAAAGAAATTGTTTGGCATAACCTAAATACTAATGGAAATTTATGGAACTTCCGCTGTCCTATGGATGGATGCGCGGAGTTAGTAGGCGCCCAATGTTTGAGGGAAATGTTTTCTACGCAAGAAGAGTCTCCTCTATGCTCAAGGATTGAACAACATTTACTATCAAATTATGTTGACACTTCTCCACGGCTGAGTTGGTGTCCGAATGAAAAAGGCTGTGAAGGCATTATTTATACCCCAAAAGCTCTTAGCTCCCGTGAATCTGTGGAATGCAACGTTTGTGGCTTGCGCTTCTGTTTCCATTGCAAAAAGATGCCACATTCACCGGCTTTTTGTGACCAAGTGCAACAGTGGACTCAGAAACTGGATAAAGGTGCTCATACCGCAGGATTTGTACTGACCCACACCAAAGGCTGCCCTAACTGCAATGTGAGGATAGAGAAAAGCCACGGATGCAATCATATGACGTGTAAGTGTGGCCATGAATTTTGTTGGATGTGTATGGGAAGATGGTCAGACCATAAGCAGGACTTTTTTTCTTGCAGTAATGCCAAACAGCCTGAAGAAGTTACCAAGAATAAAAAAAACGATGAAATTTATTTTTATAAGTTTTATGAAAAATATATGATGCAAAAAGATAGCAGTGCAACGGAAAGCGATGAACTGGACATGCTAGCGAAACGCACATCTGATTTTATGGAAACTCAAGAAAACCCGTATGCATTCTTCAACAGCCCTGATTTCTTGGCTAATTTGCTAGGAAGTGTCAAAAGCGCTCTAAGTATCGCACGGGAACGTATTGCTTTCGCAATCGTACGTAGTTACTATAGCGATAGTAGACTAAATGAGACACAGCTCTTTTTGCACATTATGGGATCTCTTCAAGAGGCAACAGAAAATCTAAGCCATCAACTGTCAAAATTGAGGTACAGCGCGTCAATCAACGTTAAAGAATTGCAAGAAGGGGTAAGCATGGTGAGGCGATGGATATCGATTCTGGAGGAGTGAAGACCCTTTCTACAAGGAGTTGTCGGATTTTTCAAGATATACATATTATTTGGCATTATCCCCTTTATTCGTTTTTGCTGTCATTTTTCACAACATCATTTTATTTTATTTTTGGGCCGTCTCCATTAACTTTTTGCTTATTGAAAACTAGTAGGCTGGAATAAGAAGTCCCTCTCAAAATTCCTGAATGGATTAGATAGAAAGGATCACCTTTTTCTGAGTCGCATCGACTCTGCCTAGAATAACTCTGTGATATTATCGCTTTTGACTAAGATTGTTATACTGGGCCCACAGCCTATCAAGTGCTGCCCGTTAGAAACAAACAAAAAAGGACTCCGATTTGGATACTCTTAAGTTTTCCTTCTTTGCTTAGTTGGCGCAAGTAGAAAGTACGATGCACATAGTCTAGAAGTGTTTCCCTATCAATGGATGATAACAACAACAATGAGCTCAAAGTTTGTGCTCAGGCAGCAAACAAATTGATAAAAGAATTGCAGAACCTGTGCATTCGAAATCGGTACCTTGAGGAGGCTGTGGAAGCTGATGAAATGCGTCTGAGCGCCCGCAATGATCGCCTGTCTTCATTGCAACAGACATTCGCAACACTTGAGCACAGAAAAAAAAGCCTGATGGAAGATAAACGTAAAAATATCGAAGCCTGCATACTGAGCGCTCGGGAGCACTCACAGAACAAGCTTTGCACACCAGCAACCCACCTGCTGGCGGTTACTGACGCGGGGCTTTCTTCAGGCCAGCAACCAACCCTTCCGCTTGATCAACATCTTCATCCCCTACATCATGATGCCACATCTACGATTTTGGACTCACACAGTGGGGATAAAATGAGAGAAATCTGTGATCAACTGTGCCTATTGCGCCGAGAAAACGAAGAGCTGGCTAAACAGGCAAGGGATTGTAGTGGCCGAGCCGAGATGATGGATAGGTCATTGTCTATCGGGAATCTTTCTGCACAAGTCAAAGCATCACGAGATAAACAAATGCTTTCAGAAATGAAAAAGCAAGTGCATGCGTTGCAGAATAGTATAAAAATTCTTGAGTTGGCACTCAACCAAAACGATGCAAAGACTTGAAAAATGGATGAACGCTGTTAGGGTTGTTATTGCCTTTTAAAAAGACACAACCATTGCGGCTTCAAAGGGATATTGGTAAATTGGCCCAATATATTGCTTTCTAATCCCTCCTCCTCCCCTCCCCCCCCCCCCCCCCCGAAAGTAAAATAAAAGTGACGCTTCGCGTTTCAGGGTCTGAGCAATTTTTCGCCTCCATTTCGTAATGGCATATTTTTATCCACGAAGATGCAACGCAGGTGATGTATAAACACTTCATGCGAACTATGATCTTAACCAATATCATGTTGCTTGGTGACAATGCCGGAAACTCCTTGAGCCGCCCCATATACCCTTCTTGTCAAGACTATTAGTTTCTTATATGGAACAATATTGTATCGTTGTTTTGCTAATTAGATAAGATTTATTGCCAGGTAGCGATTTCGTCGCATGGAAGGCCTTAATACGAGAAGATTTATGAACGTAGGTAATAATTGCAACGATACAACCAAGCCACTTCATAGTGAAGTTCAGTATCGCAGTTATCTTTGCCACGCATACTCACACAATTCTAGCCCTAAAGACCTTCATAATCAAAAACACTTAAGGGCGTCGTCGAGCGAAAATATTGAAAAGTAGGAAACCTGCTAGTAAAACGGTTTTGCTCATTGTTTAGCCCTGGAAATGTGTGGTTGAGTTTGTATTTCCGCTTGCTTGATAACGAATAAAAACTCTAAAATAAGCAATTTAAAAGCAAAATTGCAACAAGACACACAAACGATGGCCTATTTCTCTAAATATGTTTGCTTTTCTTTTGGTGCGTGCCGCAAAGCAGCATAGTTCAATTTCAGGGATGGAGGCATGAAGTGTGGACACAAGTTTATTTGAAGGGAAAAATGTCGGGAAATCGATGGAGCTCATCTGGCTATTGTGGCATGCACGTCGAAAAAATGGACTAAATCGGCAGATGTGTCGGAAATCAAACCAGGTTAGATGTTTTTCTCAGGCCCAGGTTGGCCCCTGGGTGCTGTAGTTGTGTGGTGTTCTGCGTCCTATGGAGGAGATCCGTCACCGAATGATTTTAGTTACGCGTTTGAGAACAAACTCAATGATTATTTGGATTTACACGCAGATGCCGTAAGCAGGATGAAGGTGACAAGGGCGCGATTCCAAGCATCAAGCCGTGTAGGACGCCCCAACGCAGGCGCAAATACCGGCAACCCTATCAGGAAATGAAAGCACACCACCCAAGCTGGTGCGCACCTTGCATGCCGAACTGAGTGAGATGAAACCATGTCTGCGTGAGTATGTGCTGAACTAAATTTAGTAACTCCCCTCCCCTCCTCTTTCCCACT